TGTTTTGTTGTTTACTCTGGAGCGATAAGGAAATTTCTGGGAGTACAACTCGACTGCACGACTCGCAATACCACCTCTATCAATAAAGCAGCTGTACATAATATCAACTCTCTGTTGATCGGAAAAATATGCTCTAAGGTTCATATTACTTGCAATGATTATTTGGAGATCGTGAGATGCGGTCTGGTGTATTACGCACAGAAAAAACAAACATAAATGGAACTTTTTAGAAATGGTTTACATCAACAGAGATAAACACAACATCAATTACAGAACGGACACATGTAAACCCAGTCGCAGCTACGCTAATATCATTAATCAAATTAAACATCAATAACATGTATTGAATATAAAAAACATAATACAACATATAATACATTCATTACATTCCACACATCAAGCATTTCTACATAGTCTAATTCTTCAACAATTTGTTTTTCCTTTCCCTAATTATCCCCGTATATATAATCCTGCAAGGATAATCTAGCCGAACCATACCCATTTTTCCCATAGTCGGCTCCTTTTATCTCAAAGAAGCCGACTCCTAATATAAAAATGGTTTTCTATCCCTTCTTCCTTCCCCACCCTTTTAAAATCCTATGTATATAAACATAAAACCAATATCTCACTGGCATTCTCAACACGATACACAAATGACGATCTCCAAAAAATCAGTATTAACAGTCACTAAACACCACATATTACTTGTAATCTATTTCTTACAGGAATTGAGATATGCTCTCATAATGCAATGACAGAATGTAAACAATAAAGTCAATTAATGTTTGCAGTTAGTGATGAAGCAAATTATTGGCATTAACATCGAAATGTTTTTTTTAAAATTTTTTTTAAAACTTTTTGTCATATTTTGACCAATTTAAAATCCGACTGGACCATTGTTTTGGTGTGTCAGGGTGTGTAGGGTCGTATTTAAAATTTTGAAGTTGAATTGGGACTAAGTACCCTGTATAATTCTTATCCACAAAAAGGTAAAAATTTGAAACTTGACTAAAAATATTAAACATGTATTTTTGTTTTTATCATAGCGTATTGGTCAAGAGAAATTCAGCCGAGCCATCTAAAAAGTATATATAATTTTTGCAAACGTTTTGTAAAAAAACAATTTTTTCGATTTTTTGGACAAATTTCGGATCTGTCCGGGTATTGATTAAAATAAGCCTCTGCGAAAATAAAGACTGACTTTGTAAACAATAACAGAAAAGACTCATAATTTTTATAAATAAAAAAGTCGTTACGACGGTTGAAAATCGATTACAAGATTGATTTTTAATGTAGCTTATATATTATTTTAACATTAAGATGGATCACTCAATAAAAACAAAACCATTAAAAATAATTTTTGAGAAGGAAAAAATAATTGTCTAAAGGCATTAAACAATATAAATTTTGGATATAAAACGACAAATACTAAAATATTGTATATTGACCCTGAAAGTTTTAAAATTAATATTATAATTCGATATTATGCAACAGGAACAAAAATTTTGGAATTGAAAATTTTTTGTAGCATGTACGTACATTTAGCCAGAACACGGGCTATTCCGGTACGATCTGCATTGGGCGAATGAATACCTCATTGAAATAAGTGTTGTGCCAAACGAGTTGATAAATTTGGCTGCTAAATCAAGGCTGGAAGCCTTACTTCACGTATGAAGCTCCCGAAACTGGTTACCTAACTTTAAAAACAGTTTGTCGTGTTTACAATGCACTATTCGTCGAGATAATAGCTTTTAAGGATGAATTATTTTTAATTTAAAATTTGAATATTTTAGTGTTGATATTTTTGTCAAACTTTTCAGACCAAAAACCTTTCTTAAATATAGATTTTTAAAAATTAATAAAATCAGTCTTGAAAATCTTCCATTGGAAACAAACAGAATTTTTCAGATGTTATTTTCTTTTAAGTCTAGGCTAAGCATGAGCCTGTGGAACCGACGAGCTGAGTAGGCATGAATGGAATCTGAATCAGTGTCCGATAATCGTCCTATCGAATTTTTAAATGCAATGCTTGTCTTAAAGTAGATATTATTTTTAAAAGTAGTCCAGCTATACTACTAACAGTACACAACAGACTGTTGTATTCAGTCGTTTGGGAGCTTTGACTAGGTTTTCAGTCAGTACATGAAGCATCATTGCCGTCAAATAGTTTCAATGCATTCGATTAACAGTTTATTCCTCATTAACGTCACATAAAAACGATAATAATTTATGTATGTATATATGGTATAATTTAAAAAATTCCAAACTCCGGCAGACGGCTTTTTGCCATGCTTAAAATTTATGTGTAGTATTTAGTGACCAGTAATTGATGATTATTTGGAGATCGTGAGATGCGGTCTTGTGTGATGTAGATTTAGGAAAACATTTTCTTTATTGTGCCAAGGTTTCGATCATTATTTAGATCATCTTCAGGGCCTGGGATTTACAAACATTGTTTGGATTACACAAATACATGTAAGATGTGAAAATGAATTTATAGAATGATGTACGCAATATAGAAATTTTATGTTTATTCATAGTGTTTGTACTCATTCAAAGTGTGTTTTCTGTGTAGATGTGTCATTAGTAAGATATAAATGTTTTTTGTTTATATATGTTTGATTTTGAAGGAGTGGGGAAGGAAGTAGGGATAGAAATTCATTTTTCTAAGAGGAGTCGGTTTCTTTGAAAGGGGCCAACAAAGGGAAAAAAGTTTGCCGTTCGGGCTTACTTACCTTTTCAGGATTATTAAGGAAGGGAGGATAAATGATTGAGGATTTAGGCTATGTAGAAATACTTTGATGTGTGGAGTGTAATGATTATTTTTTGGGGGCGTCGGTGGCCGCAACGTTTAAGGCGTTGACACGGCGCTCATCTCTGTAAGATAAAGGTCCCGGGTTCGAATGCAGCGGCCCTGCATTCGAACCCGACATACTTACAAATGGGCTTTTTTCAAAAACACCGGCATCCCAAGGTTGGCAACCCACCGGCTGTGGCGAACCCTCGTAAAAAATGATTCTTTTATATGCTGTATCATATATTTTATGTGTTATTGTTATTGGAATTTGATTTATGATATTAGCGTAGCTGCGGCTGAGTTTACATGTGTCTGCTCTGTAATTGATGCTGTGTTTATCTCTGTTGATGTAAACCATTTCTAAACGTAACTTTTTAGAAATAGTTTACATCAACAGAGACAAACACAGGATCATTGTATAAATTCATTTTCACATCTTACATATATTTGTATAATCGAAACAATGTTTTGTAAATCCCAGGCCCTGAAGATGATCTAAACAAATATCGAAATGTTGGCGCAATAAAGAAAATGTTTTTCTAAATCTACATCACATAAGACCGCATCTCACGATCTCTAAATAAGTTTAAAATTTATTGTAAATATATTGTAAACAGTTACTATACTTAAATGTTTCTGATATCTGGACGTCATAATGCAAGCGACATGTGTATATAGTTGCAAACATGTCTATCTACATACATGAATTGTGTGTACCCGCCGATGCACAGCAAGGGGGTTCAATCTTCTCGAGATGTTTGTAGCACTTCCTTCAACTGATGATGACGTTTCTGAACGCGTTTTCCTTCGCCCGGTGATATAATTGTTTGCATGGACAATATGATAAATAAGGCAGAAAAAAACCTTTTTGAAATTCGATCGTTTTGTCCCTATGATCGTGTGTATCTGTTCTGTGAATTATTTACTAAAAGTGTCTCTACCTTCTCACCCATTCATCATTTCTATCAAACACTTAGCCCTAGCTGACCTCGTCAGTATACATTTTTTAATTTTTTTATTTTGTGCATGTGTGTAATTAAAAGTGCGCTTATTCCCTTCAGTTACACATTTACAGATTACAAATTACAAACATCAATTTGTTGAGGGAAGTAATTGTTTACATAAGTATGTAATTGCTTACTTGCGATCTGTCCCATTTTAGTAATATTTTAATTAAACCAATAGCTTTGTTTTCTATTATATTTTACTTGTATTGTTTAACAACATGAGTAAAGACCGATATAACACATTTTAAGTGTGGAATATGAAGAAAATCGTGTTCGAACGTATTAATTACTGATTGTAATATGGTCTTTCATTGTGGTCATCCTATCTTCGCAGGAATTTAGTTTAAAATATTTGTAGAATGGGGTTTCTACTTTTTATCTGACGTTTCTGTTCTCTTTGTTTCCCGCTTGTTATTGAACATTGTTTGTCGTTCGCGTCTTTGTCTATTTGCACATCATTTAAATTTATTGGGTTTGTTAGAATGAAGTCGTATTTGCATTAAAATTAAAGCATTCTGCCTATTAACCCCGTCCCAGGAGTTTGAGGTATTTTTGGAGTAAAAAAATCGTTTTTAAAACTAGTCTTTCAGTAAATAAATTATTTTAGTATAATCTTTCCCCTGATATGTAGGGAGTTCTGAATTTATAATTTTGGTTTATTCTTCTTTTCTTCGTTATTTTTTAATTTTGGTTTATAAAAGAAAAAAATAATTTATTAGAAGAATATGGTGAATAAAAAACCTGAGACCTGCAATTCAAAGAGATAAATGATGTATAAGGGCTCATATTCAAATTGCTCATATAAAATAAATAAATAATTAGCTCAACTGTGTATTCAAAATATAATGATGTTAATTAAAAAAAAAAAAAAAAAGAAATTTATAGATTAAATTGTGAGATTTCTTTTGGAAATATACTTGTGAAAGACCTGTAATTTGGCCATTTACGATCGTCCTGGTTAGCCTATTCTCACTGATTTGGTCTGATTGATATATTTCAGCATATCACCATCAATCAACCGTGAGGATAAGTAGACTATGAGGATCGGAAATGACCAAATTACTATTGAAAGTTAGTCATGAAAAACAATGATTTGTCGCACATTGTTTTAATGTCTACACACACTGTTCCTTCATGCATTATAAAAAGTATTGTTTATCCATAAATTTGTTTTATAATTATTTCATTTTTTCCAGAATTTTTGTCAACAGGAGTTTGCATTTAGAAAATATCAAGTTCTATGGCTTCGATATGGATTACACTTTGGCTGGTTAGTTGTAAATTTGTTATACTATTTATACTTCTTTATAATTTTCATTAATTTTAGGCACATATATACTACAAATATTAATCATATATTCCAATTAATTAAGGTTTTTAGTTGAGATAAAAAAGTCAATGGCACGAGCGGCATTAAATTAATCATATAATTCAATAAAAGCACAATTTTTTCTTTATTTTTAAAGGCTAAATATTGGATACTTTTAATTTTATGTGCAAATCTTCAGGAATCATTAATAACAAAATAAATTTATTGATTTAACTTGGGGTAGAGCAGATGCTATCACACCTACTGTAGTGATAAAACGACCTAAAACTTCTCTCCTCACTATAAATACATTTAAGTTTAGCAGTAAATAATGTTTGTAATTAGTGAAATGTTATGATAATACCCATAAACTGTTACCTAAAAAAATGAAGTATTTTTATTATGTATTAGATTTATTGAATATTTCCAATTTTCATTTTTCTAGATTGTGACAATTCCAGACAATTCCAATTTGTTTGTGCTTCATTTACTTCCAGATTACATTCATAAAAGCCAGTAGGATATTATCATAATCATCAGTTTGTGCAAGCACCAGATTATTTGGATTCAATCAAATAAGTAATTACATGAGATTCAAAAATGAAGAGAGAAAAAAAAACAATGCCTTCACTGAATTATATCACATGTAATGTACTACACAATAATTATTGTATATAATAATTATTATTGTACATTTAGAATACATTAGTATATAAAACAAGATGGTTGGCTATAAACTCCACTTGTTTTATGCAGGTGAAATGAAAAATTTATATTGGTTATGATATTTGATGAAGTATATTTGTTAATAATAATTCAAGCAGTTTACATGTTATCCTTTTATTAATTTAATATAATTATTCTTTAAGAGATTTATTCTTGAGGTCTGGAGGGTGATGAGCCTGTGGCCTGATCATTTAAGTTTTTTAGACCAAAATACCATGCATATCAAAAATCATCAGAAACGACCAAGCTATATAATCACAATTCATCTTTTTACAGAATACAAGTCGCCTCAGTATGAACGGCTTGGATTCAACCTGGTCAAGGAAAGGCTTGTGGATATGGGGTATCCAGCTGAAATTTTAGAATTTGAATATGATCCCTCTTTCCCAGTGAGGTTTGTTAAAATGATTAGTTTAACTGTTCAAACTGAAATTTTAATCATATTTGGATTTCAGAGGTCTTTGGTTTGATGCTCAATATGGAAACCTCCTAAAAGTTGATGCTTATGGAAATATATTAGTTTGTGTACATGGATTTCAGTTTTTGAAACAGTAAGTTTCTTTTTCAGAGCAACTTTCTCATGTATTTCATGTCGTTTTGGTTGTGTGACATATATTATATGTGACATATATATTTCTAGTTCTCAGGTTTATGAATTATATCCTAACAAATTTCTTCAGTTGGACGAATCGAGGGTATATGTATTAAATACACTTTTCAATCTCCCCGAAACATATCTTCTTGCCTGTTTAGTTGACTTTTTCACAAATTCTCCTCAATACTCTTGGTAATTATCAATTTTTTTTTTTTAGCTAGCAAGTTTTTATGATTGTTATTGTTTTATTTAATTTTTCTTCAGTAAGGATAAGACAGGAGTTACTTGTGGAGACCTATTTATGTCTTTTAAATCAATATTTCAAGATGTGAGAAGTGCTGTTGATTGGATTCACTTGCAGGTAATAGAGAAATATTGTTTTACAAAACCATTTTTAAAAATTATTTTAACAATAGTGATTTGGGTCTGCGTTAGTAAAAACCTTCAAAATGTGCAATAAAAACCTCAAAACATGAAAAAAAGGTTAATGAATCTAAAAATTCTCGTTTAACAGTTACATTTTTTTACATAATAAAATTAATTCTTGTCTTAAACATGGTATACAATGTGATTGTTAGAGTACATTTATTTTTAAAACACAACACACAAATATACAATTAAATTTAAAATTATACACTAGATAACAATAATAAAGTAAGTTTTAAACTATTCATAAAATAACAAATATGCAGGTACCATCAACTTTACATTTAAAAAATAAAGTAAAATAAATTAATTTTTCATTGTAATTCACCACATATATTTAGTTTTTTCTATCAGGTTGTACTACCTTTCATTTCCAGAATGTGTTTCAAAAGAGAAAAGATCCGGTTAGTTCATCATTGCAAAAATAAATACATAATTAAATAAAAACATTTATAAAAAAAATTATACTATTGGTCTCATGTTCTTATAGTCCTGTAGTCACCATTTTTGAACTTGGTACAATCTTTTGGGTTTGATTGAGGTATATTTAACCTTGCTAACTTAACAGGCATTTTTTTTTTTTTTTTGTTGGTTCTGCTTTCCTCCCAAGCCGAAGAAATGTTGATAAATGAGAGCGAAAACTTCAAAATTGGAACAGAACGGATGTCGAACATAACGTAAAATAAATTCATTTATGCAATACCGTTAACCCATTAAAATTATGTATTTACACTTTGTTTTCGTGTATAAAAAATATTAATAAAAATTTGTTAAAATCCATACAGTAAAATGTAAAAATGCATCTAATTTTGTGCAATAATGACAAAATTCGCAATTTCGTGCAAAAAATAAGAACACCTCTTCAAAGTTCTGCCTTGGTTTCATTCCATTTAAAGATTGAAAACTGGGGGGAGGGGCATAGTGGCCACAGTGGTTTAGGTGTTGACACGGTGCATATCAATATAATATAAAGCTCTGGTTTCGAATGCAGGACTGCAGGATTCAAACCTGTCATACAAAACGGCTTTTCTTCAAAAACACTGACACCCCGAGGATTCATATAATCCATAGTTGATATACCTTGTTTAAAAAACAAAATAATAATAATAAAAGTTAACGAACCTGAATCTGTACTTTGGTGATAAGAGTAACAATTTGCCAGTTGAAAACTCAGAAAGTGAATTTACAACATTTTTTAAATTTAAAATGTTGATGAAATAAAGCATTTTTGATTTAATTTTAAGTAATTTTCATTACTCATTATAATTGGGAAGTAAATTAAGCTAAAAAAAACTTAAGTACATGAAAAAATAAACCTTTAATCTGTAAAATATATTGTCTGAGGATGTACAATACTGAAAGATAGAAAAAAAGAAAGAAAAAGACTGGTCGTATTTTGTTGTTTATTTCAAACATGTATTTTTCTCAATATACTATTTACAACATACTTATTTTAATGTAGCAAAATTAATCAAGGTCAGAATTCATGAGTTTTAATTTTAAAAAATAAATAAGTAATTTGTGAGTTTAAAAGAAACTTCACCAAAACTCCAGAAAGTCATGTAGTGATAGAATTGTTAGTTAAATTTTAATCTATCTGGTATTAGGTGGAATCTTCTTTCAAACCATCACAGTTAAATATTTTTTTATTAAAACTCATGAATTTTTGATAAATTTTGTTAATTTGATTTAATAAGTATGTTGCAATTAATAAAACAATAAAAATACTTACAGTTTGAAATAAACAACAAATATAAGTGTTTTTTCCCTTTAAATATATATAGCATGTAGTTAGTTTGAAGGTGAGTCCAGTAAACTAAGCTCTATTTTTATCGAATCGATAAACATTTCAATGTTGAAACCGCCAGACTGTGCATAGGTCAGCAGTCAGCATTGAACAAGGATAATTTTGCTGTGTAAGAAATTTTGGTAATAATTTCTTCCAATGTATTCTGTATTTCCTTTGAATTGCAAGTTAAAAATTTATGTATATTAAGACAAACTCATGTTTAATGGTTTAAGGGTGATTTAAAATCCATGACAATAAAGAATCTTGATGAATATGTCAAGAAGGATGAGCGGCTGCCAATGTTTTTGACAAGGATCAGAGAAAGTGGTGCAAAGGTTTTCCTCCTCACAAACAGCGACTATCTATTCACTGACAAGATAATGACTTACTTATTTGACTTCCCTCATGGTGCAAGGGTAAATAAAAAGAATTTGTTTTTAAAGCATTTGCTTAAGACATTTAAAATACTGTTTTTCAGCCTGATGAGCCCCACAGAAATTGGAAAACCTACTTTGATATAATTGTTGTCGATGCAAGGAAACCACTATTTTTTGGTGAAGGCACTCTTATGAGGCAAGTTAATACAGAAACTGGTTCTCTCAAGATTGGCTCACACACAGGTCCTTTGCAAAAGGAACAAGTTTATTCTGGAGGTAAATTAGGTTATTAACACAGAAGGAATTTTTTTTAGTATGATGGTAACCAATGGAAGTAAACAACTTCCAACATTGGTTGATTATTAGTTACTTTTAATATTACTTACTTTTTGTATTACAGTACTGATTTCTGGGTACTGCCCCCCCCCCTATACAGTTGTTTTTGAAATATACAAAGCATTTAAAATATTACATTCCTTAACTAGTTATGTCTGCAGGTTGCTATAGCACTATAAAATGAACATTTTTTGTTGTCACAAGTACTTTGAATTTTTTATGCATTTTTTAAATTTAGATAATTTGTTGAAATGTTGCGCACTTAAAAAAAAAAGATTTTTTGAACATTAATGCTGTTATTTGTTATTTTCCAAATTGTAGTAAATTTTCTGCAAATATAAGTTTTTTCCCCGTCATTTTCTATTTCTAATACTTTTAAACTCTTAACTGTTGTGCACAGTTTCTTTTATATATTTTGATATATCTGTAAATATCATTATTTACTATATTTCTTTTATGTTGTTGTAATCCTTTAATTAAAAATTTAATTGTTTTTTGAATGTATGATTTTTTACACGAGCAACTTATTTTACATTAGATATTACTTTTATACATTTTGTCCCCACTGTCTTTTAAAGGTATACGGGGTGTGTATTAAATATTATAAAATTAAGTTTAAAATAATAAAAAAATGTTTTAAAATTTAAATTTTTGCACCACACCAAGAAATTGGTTAAATTATGACAAAAAATATATATTATCCTTGCCTTCTTGTTGATTGTTTCAAAGGTTCTTGTGATGTATTCACAAAGTTGATAGGAGCGAAAGGAAAAGATGTGTTGTACATTGGTGATCATATTTTTGGTGACATTCTTAAATCAAAGAAAATAAGGGGATGGAGGACATTCCTCATTGTGCCTGAGCTTGTTCAGGAGCTGCATGTTTGGACAGACAAGTGCCAGCTCTTTACTGAACTCCAGGCTCTTGATGTCATGCTTGGGGAGATGTATAAGTAAGCCTGCCTACAAGCATTTTATTGTTTACGATTAGGAATTAAATCATCAAAATAATTTTTTAAGGAATTTAGACTCGAGCACAAAAGAAAAACCGGACATATCGAAGCTGAGGACCGGCATAAGGGAGGTGACGCATAAGATGGATTTGTCTTATGGCATGATGGGCAGCCTTTTCAGGTCGGGTTCTAGGCAGACTTTCTTCTCCTCACAAGTTGTCCGCTACGCTGACCTTTATGCTGCTACATTTATCAATCTCATCTATTACCCTTTTAGCTACATGTTTAGAGCTCCTGCTATGCTGGTAAGTAATTGTTAAAGTCTTTATGCTAAATACATATTAACCTTAAGTTCTGGTATCAGTTTCCTGGTGACCTAATTCCTTACGGCTGAAATAATACTCTTATTTATGGTCTGGAAAACCAATCTCTGTGTACTAGTAGCTGCATAAGAGGAAAAGGTCTAATAGAATGTATACCAAAATTGCCCCTTCAGCTGGTGTTAAAATGTTTTTCAATTATAATTAATAGTAATATCAAATAAATCGCCATTGTGTCAGAAATTGGTTCACATTGTCCTGTGAAAGGCAATTTTTTTTATGTTAACACATTCGATACAGCACTGATATGTACTCTCCTGAGATACGGAAAAAATTTGATTGAAGATATTTTTTTTTTCTTCAAAAAATCTTTAAAAAATTTCCAGTAAGCCAAATTTAAGTTTATACCACTAGGTTAGGCTTATGATAAAAATCGTGAATAGAAAGATTATTTTGCCTTTGGGGATTCTTCCATATACATATATATCATACAAATACAAATTAATATTAAAAAATATTACTAAGTGCAAATGAACTTATAAAGATAATGCAATTAAATCCATTATCTGTTAAATTGGATAAAAAATAATGTTATTGTGCGTTAAATGTACACAATATTAAAATATTGTGGAAATTAAATTAATTGAATTCACTTAAAAAATAAATAAATAAATAAAATAAAACAGTATTAATATCATTTTACTCCGTACATCTATATAGTAGTCATAATTGACTGTATTAATTGTTTTAATTAGTTATACTTTTTCTCTAAGGTCTTGGTTGAGATGAAAAAGCTAGTGTCACAAGTGGGATTCGACCTATGAAAATATGCCAAAACATGGGGAACATTCAAATGGTTGTAGGGTGAAATGAGGAGTTGGTGTCTGAGAGGATTGATGTCATGATAGCTCAAGCGGGTAGAGCACCAGCGTATTTAGCCAAGTTGTGTCAAATCCTGCTCATGACACTTCCTTTTTCATAGTAAAAAAGCTTGAGAATATGAGACAAAAAGTTAAAATAAATAAAATATAAAAATCTACACCATGGAATCTTTTCTCTTATAAATGTGGGAAATGTAGAAAACCAAGAGACTCATGCTAGAAAGTGCTTAATTCACTACATAGAGTACAGTTTTATTATAAGTATTTGATGATATAATAATAATTTTGATGCTTTTTAAGATGCCACACGAATCTACTGTTGCCCACGAACAGAGGTTTGTCATGGACAGTCCCATGATTTCCAGGTCTAGAACCTACTCTATCTTCGAAGACGAAAAAACCCCCACACGAGACAATAAAGTAAGTACATTGGTATGTATGTATATAAAAAAAGTTATTCATGTAATAAATTAACAAAGTCACACCTTGACCAAGAGGCTGCTTATATAAACTTTAAAATTAAACTTACTTTAAACTTTAAAGAAAATACAATTTGTGCCCTTGATTTGATGGTTAAATAGGGTTTTCACTTTAATGAATTATAGTTTAAGTGTAGTTGTAGCATGTAGATTCCAATCAATGGTGTAATTGTTTTTATACAATAGGTGTGGATTCCAAGACTTAACGAGCTAACAGTCACTCTGTCCACTCTATGTTACGAGAATTATCAACTGAAACAGTCAAGACAAAAGAACCATCAGCCTCCTCATATTTAACTTAATGGTTATCAGCTCACCTTTCTACTTGGGACTCTTAGGATTGACTATTTTCGGCTGGTTTGTTTAAGATGATTGTCTCAAGTTTTGAGCTTCTTTTGTTTTATATCATCTAACAATTGTTCTCTGGAGAATTGATGGCTCTTGGCTCAGCTGACCCTCCTTTAAGTTGTCTTCATTTGATGATATTAACTTTATAATAGGTTTGTTCCAACCAACCATTCCTGGCTGGTTTTGGATTAGTTCTTTCAACTGTATGTCACTTAATCAGTGTCTCATTGAAACACCAGACTTCTAACCAGAGATTTGGTTTGTGGCAGGTTGGAAGTTTTAATTTAACGCAGGCTTCTGACATCACAAACTGTCTGAAGAATGGTTGAAACAAACATTATACATGTTGCCTACCTGCCCAGCATCCTTTTATATCGGTCCAAATGTCAAAGCCACAAGAGAAACAATCCTGACATGTCCTTTCCCAAATTAGGTTTTCATATGTTTAACATCATGGAGAGGTGTTAAGTCTGAAAATTGTTACATGCAAATTTAGTCTAGTACTAAGGGAAGGAACAAAAAGGTTGCAGGTATCTCCAGCTGAAATGAAAAATGTGAGGGACCATTTTCAGAACATAAGACATGCTAAATGCTTTATTGATAAAATAACAAACATATATCCAACTTTTGAGATATTAAGTTGCAAATTTCTCAAGGATGGTGACATCTGGACCTGAAATTGTGCCGTAAGGTAAAAACTGCAATTATTTGCCTCAGTCTGAGGAAATAGTTATTATATTATAATTCAACCAACATCAGTCCAGCGATCATGCTTTTTTAACAAATTAGTTCCAAAGCATGAGATTTAATTAATAAAGGATTTTTTTTTTAAATCATTTTTCCCCTTGTGCTGACCCTATAGTGTTTAAAAATTAAATAAATATTGTTTAAAAATTGGGGTAATTAATATAGTCATATGTATAATTCAAATACTTATATAAAGATAACATTGATCAAATACAACAATGAATATTCTTGTTGCAGTCATTAGATAGGAGCAACAGCCAAGTTCCACATGCTCGTCCAGTCACACCTCGTTCCGTCACCCACAATCACGATGAGGATTACAGTGATGAAGAAAGTGATCGTAACTCAGGAGAGGAGAAGCAGAATTAGAACTGAATTACAAGCTCGAAGTAGCACAATTTCCGCGAAAATATAGCGTACTAGGCTAAGAAAATAAGAATAAGTATGTACAAGTTGTGATGATAACCAATTTTTGTACAGTTTTTACATTTGTTCTCATTCATTTTTGTATAGTTAGCCATTGCTACTTTGACAAATTTTATTTGTATGTTGTATTTTATTATAATTACTTTTGTTGTTGTTTTTAATCTTTAATTCGTTCAATCTACATTCCTTTGTATTGATGTTATTCCCACAGTTTTACCGATATGATATAATTGTGTCATAGCTTGATTGATTCTTTGAAAAATTTACTGTTTAAAAAAATTTACTGCAAAGCCAATAAATTTAGCAATTGTGATTGGAAATTAAGTATTTTGTATATATGATTTCTGCTCAAAGTACAATAAAATTTTATAGCTGTATTTTTCTTGACTTCTTTAATGACAGGAGCCTTCCTTTTTGTAATAGCATAATATAAGTTATAAAAGCCTGATAGGGTGAGGTGTCATAGTGGTCTAACATAATAGGGTGAGGGTGATAGTGACCCTAAGCACACACACATTTTTTTTCAGCTGGAGGGTGATGGTGACACTATGGACTGGATGACAGAATATTTGTGAAAGTACCTCATCGATCCCTAATTTACGTTAGATTATTACTACTGTGTATAGGTCAATGGAGATCCAATATTACATCGAATAATCACGATGAGTGCATGAATCTATTTATATGTATGAATGTATTTATTTGTGCAATTGATTTATCCAATTTAATCCTGTAGGAGATTAACACCATTAACAAGGGGTTGTTAATCTACCACACTGTTATACTTTTGCTATTATCCCTAACCATGCTATACTTTTTTCTTTGATTTTCTCAAATAAAATTCTTAGGGGTATGCTGGGGATTGTGTGGTCAAGTGGTTAGGTCATCGCCCCGGTCCTTTTTTCACACACCCCTTCCCCTTAAAAATATGTACGTGTATGTGAGTATGTACACACAACACATCTTGGCTAATATGTGAAGTTCATAAGGCCATTAAATAAACAAAAAAGAACCACTAGCAAATTTACTGGTTAGATTTCTTAATTATTTTTTTGTTATAATATATTTATCAAAAAATGAATGTGAAGAAAGTCAAAAAATCCATAATGGACTGGATGACCACTTTTCATTATCTTTTCTCATCTTACAAGACATATTTATTAATTCTCCTTGGAGATGGTTCAAGAAGAATTCCAATCCATTTATTATATAATTTGGTAAAACTATACAATTTGAACATTAATTACATTTTAAAAAGTATTGTATTAAAAGCTTAAAAAAAATAAATAAATAAGGCCTGATCTTGCCAGAGACAACCAGAAAAACTTGCAATTATTTTTTTAGGAAGATAATATTACTTAACTTCTAACTATTTAAAATAGCAAATGTTCCAAATATTTTTCAAAATCTTCTTCTCTTGAAACTTCAACAGACTCATCAATTGGCTTTGTCCAAATATTGTTTTCTTCACTGCAATTAGTCTTTGTTTCTTCTTCAGTCTTTTCTTCTTCTTCCTTTTCTTCCATGTTGGTTGTTTCTCCTTTATTACACGTTTTGCTACTTTTTCCAGTTTTATGTTTTATCCGTATTCTCTTTATCTCTTTTCTTTTCTTACTGTAATTTAGCTTTGTTGAACAATCATTACATAGGCCTGAAAAAAATCAATTATTCAAAACGTACATAACTTTTATAATTTTTACACTTACGAAGTTTGACAAGGGCATTCTTTTTTTCACCTTGCTCCTTATAGGCAAAGTTAACTTCCCATGTTTTTAAGTGCTCCTTTTCTGGACAGCCTTTGGCTCCACATATAAACTGTCCTTTGCCAGTAACCAGCTCTTGTTCCGTCTGCCACCTCAGCGCTATCTAAAAAGACATCAAATGATCCAATGAGTTTAAGTGGACAGGCAAAAAAACAAAAACCCCAGCCTCACCTTATTCTTTTTATACATGGTTAAATCTGTTATACAGAATTCTTTGAAAAGCTTGTCATAATACTTTCTCGCAAGCCGTTCTTCCCAAGTTTTAGGCACTTCATCTTCATCCCAAAGAAATTTGTGATTTTCTCTCAATACGTCCGAGTCAGTTTTGTCCCTCGACCTGGTTTGGGAAAATTAACTTTTAGTACCCATCATTGCTAAAATTATTAAAACGAAACATTCACAGACCTTTTCAAGGATACGATTTTCCATGAATCAATAAAATATAAAATTTCACCTTTCTTGCCTTTGAAAGTAAATATATATTATTCCATTTAACAGTCATAATTGACTGTATTAATTATTTTAATTAGTTATAATTTTAATCTAAGGTCTTGGTTGAGATGAAAAAGCAAGTGTCATGGGGATTCGAACCCACGCTGAATATCACGATAGCACAAGTCGTTAAAGCAGTGGTGAATTGAGCCTAAGGTCATAGGTTTGAATCCCGCTCGTGACACTTTCTTTTTCAACTCAACCAAGAGTTTAAATTAAAAGTATAATTAATTAAATATAAGTGTATTGAAATGTTTTGAAAATACACGAATTCAGAATGGGAATCACGCAAGACAAGCAGGTCCATATTTCCTGTTGATTCGTTTCACTCTGTGCCTTATTGGCCCATTCTACCCAGTTGCTGTTAACAAGAAAGACGTTAGATACACTTACGTGTCACGTTTGAGGAAGCTCGTAGACCCTTTACTTGTCAACACATATGTGTTTATTAGGTGTTTGTGCAGTTCGAATGGGTTCATCGAAAGGTAGCCCGTCCTTGGTACGTACGTCTTATGCATTTCCCTGTTTACGTAAACAACTAGTTTTAACTCTAAAGTTTATTTATTCATACAGGTAAATATACCCAGATACAAATTTTATAAGCATTTCAACTATACTGTAATAATGATTGATTGAAACATAAATAATATACATATAGCAATAATCAAAAATAAGGACATATTCAACATACCAAATACAAATAAAATATTTTAATTGTTGTGTCATAATGCACACGTGTATACAAATTTAAAAGAAGTGAGAAGAAATGATAAAAATTTAATTAAACAACAGAAATATATAAACAAATCAAACACAATCGCCATGATCAATATATTTTTTTTAGTATTTAAATCGACTTAAGTAAAATGTGAGTTTTATTTTCTAGCATTGTATTGGGTTGTCCGGAAAATAATGCAGGATTTTGGTATTAAACAAAAAAAAAAGAAACTAGTTACTTTAAAGCAATGTTCTTTAATCAAAATAATTTCCCATACTCTCAATACATTTCTCCCAACGTNGTAATCCTGTAAACGTAAACAGAATATTTTATATAGATTTTTTTTAATGAAAACTTAAAATCCTGCATTATTTTCCGGACAACCCAATATAAATTCATTTTGTTTTTAATCTAAAATTTTCTAGCATTGTATAAATTCATTTCTTTTGAATCTAAAATTTTCTAGCATTGTATAAATTCACTTTTTTTCTACATCCTTCATGTATTTGTTAAATTTAAACAATGTTTGTAAATCCCAGGCCCTGAAGACGATCTCAATAAAAATCAAAATGTTGGCACGATAAAGAAAATGTTTTTCTGAAACCTACGTCACACCAGACCGCATCTCACAATCTCCGAATAATAATCTGACTAAATGGTGTGGAACATGGAAATTTAGCAAATTGATTAATTGTGGACATTAAGATTATTCCCGCTCGTGGCACTAACTTTTTCATTTCAACCAAAACCTTACATAAAAAGATTAATTAATTGAACGAAGTAATTTGGTCAATAGACCACTAAATATAATGGATTAATTAGGATTATTATTTAAAAATTTGTAAGAAAATATAAGGTCATTATTTTGTTGCCTTATGTTTATTGGTTGCAGTTCTACGGATTCCATAAGTTCGTACAGTGTTTACAAGTATGTTCTAGTAATTTTAAACTAGAGAGGGCAAAATAAATCATCACTGTACATTTTCAATTGAATTACTTATCATTTCTGATGTGGTGACCAAATAACTGAACAGTATTCTAAATTTGGACAGGCCATAAACTGTTACATAGAAACTATACAATCATTGTTTCTGCATACTTAATTTTTTTGTAGTTCTATGTAAGAAACCTAAAATTTAATTTGCCTTATTAATTATTGAGGTGCAATACGAGGTTAAATGTAAGTCTTTAGAATAGGCAATTCCAAGGTCTTTAGTGGTAGTCCACCTGTCTAATTGGATGTTTTTTAAGGCATAATTGTAGAAGACAATACAATGTCCAAGACTAAAACTTAAGGTAAGTTACATCTGGCAGTTACTGCATGATATTTAAGTCAGACAGAAATTGTGGCTAATATAAACAGAGAAAAATTTATGTTATGATTTATGTTTAAAAAAATGTATATTTCAACCACTAGCTATTTGTTTTGATACTTCTATACCAGTTAGTTAGATATAAATACCGGTTAGTTGCAAGTTCAACCTTGTTCAGCACTTATCGCAAAAGTTGATCATTTGTCTTCTTTTCTGCATTTGCAATAAGTGTCGCGTAAACACGAGTAACAAAAAAGTGTAAGTTAAATTTTTTTTTTTTTTTTTTTTAATAATTGGCCTTATGATCTTTGCATATTAGCCATGACGAATTCTTATATATGTTGTTCAAATTGGGGGTTATCGGGAAAAAAGGGCCAGAGGCGACAGTGGGAATCGAACCCACGACCGCGGCATGAGAGTCTCTCAAGCTAACCACTCGGCTACCGCGGTCCCCCAATAGTTAAATCTTAAAAAAATTAAAATTACCTTTTTTATTTAATAGTAGTTCCTACTTACCAGATGCCAAAAATAGCAAAGTTTCAACAAGTCGTTATATTACAGTAATAGCTTTTCTGAATTTGGTATCTTGCTTTGATATAAGGGACCAATTTTATAAGTTATAAGCATGCTTTTCAAAATCAGCAGGTGTCATCGTTCAAAAATTCCAAAACTGAACTGGATCCTCAATACTAAGCTCAGACATTAATTGACTGTAGGCACCAACTTTTTCCCGTTTCAAAACCCACTCTTGAACCTATACAGAACTGATTATTTGGAGATAGTGAGATGCGGTCTGGTGTGATGTAGGTGTAGAAAAACATTTTCTTTACTGTGCCAACGTTTGGATCTTCATTGAAATACACATCGAGCCCTGATGATCTCAATAAAAATCGAAATGGCACAATAAAGAAAATGTTTTTCTAAACCTACATCACACCAGACCACATCTCACGATCTCCGAATAATCATTAACCAAGGGTCACTAAACACCACACACCCATACAGAACATTTATTCTTTCTTTTCATCTTTAGAATAATTTTTCACAGATCACAATTTTTGCATTTCAAGGCTTTCATCATGTCAAATCAACTGTATGTGGAATGAAAGAAATATACAAATACACAAGACACAAGGGTACCCAAAAATCCATCTTATTATATTTAATCCAAGTTTTGCATTTTGAGAACTGTCATATACATATCCATGATACAAATTTCTACTAATTTCTATTGGTGTGTAAACAGTCAAAGCGATTTTCTGTCTGACACTCGACGTATATTTCCGGACATGTCAGATTTACTTATTACATGATTATTGACATTGAGTTCCATGCTGTTGCATGAACACCACTCAACAAGACTATTTACAAATTTTTGCAGAAACTCTGCATCATAATAGAAGTTAGAGCGGTATAGACCTTGAGGTGATCAGCAAAGTGGGAGAATTAACTGAGTAAGTACAAGGAAAATATCGTTAATAAATACTTACTATTGTTAAAGAGTTATCTTTTCAGACGTAATGAATGACACACCGTCGACTGTCCTTTCGATAACCACCTTAACAAAAAATTTTTTTTTAAAGAAAACGTTTGTCCTTATCATTACATTGTTATTATGTAACAGCAATGTAAGCTTCGTACTACGTAGTACAATGCTGAAAAGCTCCCCTGCAGTAATATATGAATTCTGACATCGATTCAATCTTTTTCGATTTGAATTTTCGAGTTTTGATTGATCTCGTTTATCCTGGAATCTGGATCGTCAATCGTGATTCTAGTATCGACGATCAACTTCGCCAGTCCGAGTCACGAAGCGTAAAACGAAACTGGAAAGTGGAAACTAGAAAGTGTCAGGTGCATTGCTGTTTAGAAAGGGAAAGTCCACAATCCGCAATTAGGTACATTAGAACCAAATCGTCCATTTCTCTTCTCCGACGCCCTTTTTGTTTTACATATAATTTCCGGTATGTGACATTTCTCGTTTAATGAAAATGCTCTTTTGGTTTGGGAAACTGGACCATATATCGTTCGGTACTTGCACAGTATTATTCTGTACTTCATCGTTGAAATAGTCTTGGTTGAAACCTTTACTTGCTTGTAGTTGAAGTAAGCCGTTGACGTTGAATGCCAGAGAAAAATATTTAATCATGTCAAATTATAACACTTTATTTATTTATGTAAATGTCGATCTACAAGTTTTTGACGTTTGTCCGTCATTCATCCTGGTCCGCCTATTATCACTGTCTTTCAGTCAGACGTTTTACAGCAATTGAACGTTGTGCTAATTCGGGTTTTGATTTTTGATAAACTGTAATTTTTTTCAATTATTTACTTTGATTATTTTCGTCTTAACTTCACATTTTTTTCAATTTTAATAATTTCACGTCTTAAGTGTGTACCAGCATGCTTCTAACTACTGCACTGATGGACAAATTTAGCACACCACTCTATTTAGTTTAAAATTGAATACATCATCTTTCTACATTAGTTACAGGTAATAAGGAGCTATCGTTGTCAAAATAATCGGTAAATAATACTTTGTTTACTCCCTTTATTTACTTTTGTACTGATTAATCCAATTTGCACAAAAAGTAGCATTATGCCCTTTCATTCTGCTACTCCTAAAGATTGCTCTAATACTCCAGTAACTAATTTTTTGGAACCCAATCAGAAAGATCAAAGGGCACAGCATCTCCCCTCCAGTATCTTGCCTTAAAATCAATAATGACTTTGTAACAGATCCAAAACAAATGTCAGACAAACTTGGACAACATCAATACGAGATCTCATCAACAGCAAATTACACCTCCAGTTTTAGAGCAATTAAAATAAAAACCGAGAGGAAGCCGATTACAATAGACTCAAGTACACTCCTCCCCTTAAATCTTCCTTTCACGCAAACAGAATTTGACATTGCCCTAAACTCGAGAAAAGACACTGCGCCTGGTCCCGATAACATCTGTATCTCTATGATCAAGAATTTGAGGGCGAAAGACCGTGAAATAATCTTAAAAATTATTAATAAGCTCTACATGAATGAGATCTTCCCTGAACTCTGGTCAAATGCGATCGCAATCCCCATACTCAAAAAAGGCAAGTCCGAACACGACGTTAAAAGTTATAGATTAATTTCTTTAACGTGTTCAATGTGTAAGTTAATGGAAAAAATGGTATCCAACAGATTACAATGGTTTCTAGAATACAAAAATTTGCTACCCCCCTGGCAAAGTGGATTTAGGAAAGGTCGAGGAACTCGTGATAACCTAGTTCAATTAGAAACAGCGATCCTTAGTGCGTTCAATAATGGAGAAAAGCTATTAGCAATATTTCTTGACCTCGAAAACGCTTTTGAAAAAACCTGGAGACATTCGATATTAGCTACCCTAAAAACATTTGGGATTGATGGCCACATACTAGCATTCTTATCAAATTTCCTGAACAATAGGTCCTTTCGCGTCAGATGTGGTAACATAATGTCAGACAACTTTGTGCAAGAAAATGGTGTCCCACAGGGATGTGTACTAAGCGCGCTACCTTTCTGTATTAGCTTAAATAAAATGATTGAAAAAGTTCAACTGCCCGTTCGCGCAATGCTATATGCTGACGATATAATCATCTACATAAACGATGCTACAAGACATGCTACAAGAAGCTCTAAACTCAGTATATAAATGGTTAAACCAAACTGGATTTAAGATATCCCCTTCTAAAACCACTGCTGTCTTGTTTGCCAGGAGACGGCCAGGTGCCCCATTGACNTGCACCTGACCTTGTGCCGCACAGCGCTTGGTTCAAGGACCGAGGTCCGAACCCCCGCCGTACTCCCGTAGATAGAGAAGGCAACTCTATCTCCCCCGAGTGGAGGGGCCCCCCTAGCGTAGGGACTTCCGGATGCGATCCAGCAACGGCTTTGGTTTTAAGTGGAAATGCTAACCACCCCCGGATGAGTGCGACTACCCACTGCATGCACAACGGATAGCAGTCTCTCTCCGAGTACCCGCCAGGGGTCTCACCACGTACCACTACGAATCCAAACCGCAATTGTAAGCATTTGGGCTTGGACTATGCTTGCGCCCGTAGTTCAGTTGCTCTGGCTCCATCCCCCGACCTTACGGAAGTGATCCGGTTTACAAGGCCATCTGTCCCGATTAAAGCGAATAGATCCGCTTCCTCCGTCGATTCCTTGAACCTACCCAATTTAGAAGCCTCTAATGCCCCTATCCTATCTGCCAATTCCGACCTGACTTTCCCTATTTCCTTCTTCGACTCTTTTCTAATCGAGTCTATTTTCCTACATATCCTGTTCTCCCTCTTTCCCATTTTCTCCAAAAAATTTTGTATTATGTAATTCCCGGCAATCTTAACCCGAGATTCATTTTTAACTATATCGACGAACGCGTTACCTAAACATTCTAGTTCATTCATAATAAATGCCCTATATGTTTTCCTAATATTTTTCTTGTGTGAATCTAAATACCCCCCAATTGTACTGACGGTTTTCCCTAACTCTACTATAAACGAATTTTGGGCCATTTTTAACTTATCTTATTATATATTGTTAAATTGATTAGTAAATGAAATATAAAGAAGTTAACTGACCTAACCGCGCTGTTAATAAATCGCTAACCAGGGGAGTGTGTTAATAAGAGTTTAATTGAAGGAAGTAGAAAAAAGAAATATAAGAAAATCGAAACTCCGACTATTCGGACCGGCCTATACGAGTATAAAAAACCAAGGGTGTAATTTTCCGGAGGGTACAGGTTCCGTTCTAAAAAAACCGATCGACGCGGAATTTTCACCGTTTGATTCTACAAAAAATTTTGAATCCAACGGTACCACACACGACTCCTATCTAAAAAAGGGATGGACCTGTCGGCGGCGACTTCCTATTGAACTTTAGGAGTCTATAACTTCGGTTCGGGGTAAGATATCACGGTGAGACTTTCACCACTCGACTCCAAATAATTTTCCGAGTCCAGCGATACCTCACTCGACTATGCCACCCTCTAATNGTTGCCCGCCTCTCTACCCGAATTGCTAAATGACAGAGAAACAACAGTATCAAGATTATTTAAATTTTTAAGGGAAACAGAATTGTTTGGTAAAATCTGATTTGTGAGGTGAAATAAAGAGATGGGACCTGTAGCTGGTGGCGGGCGCTCGGGTGTGGTGCCGGTGGCGGGTGTGTGTGTGTGTGTGGGGGGGGACTTCTGGGCGACAATGCAAGACGCAGATCCCCCGCAGGCCGCACTAAGGACAGATTCAAGGCAAATATAACCCTGATTGTGGTTGCTGCCTTTAAAAAAAAAAAAAGATTGCTTTCAGTTAATCTTTTCCCTCTGTTGATTTCATTTGATAGTATTCTTAAACCTTTTTCAATGGCTCCAGTTAGGCATTTGAGTAAGTATGAGTGTCAGGGTCATAATATTATTAGAGCAAGGATACAGCCAGAGCGAAGTCGCCAGGAGACTGAGTGTAAATCACTCTACAACAGGAAGGGTTCTTTGGCCCTTGAAAGAAACAGGTCTTCACACTGGACGGCCAGAACAGAGTTGACCTAGGTCTACGGACGTGAGAGACAATAGATTTATCCGTCATCAGGTTCTACGAAACAGCAGCATTACAAGAAATGAGATAAAAAATCGGATAAGACAAGTCTGAAATGTTTTGGTTTCCTCCAGGACTATAAGGAAAGCTCAATGAAAATAACCTCAGGGCCTGGCACCTGGCTCCTGGACCTTTTCTTACCACATCTCAGAAAATGGCCAGGCCTCATTTGGACACGAACATTTGAATCGGTTATTGGGAGATAGGGGATGAGTTCTCTTTACAGATGAGTGAGTCCAAATCTTCAGATGGGCGTAATTTCATACGGAAATGCTGAGGAGAAAGGTACACCCCATGGTGCATTTCTTCAGGTGGCATTCCACTGTAGTCACTGATGTTCTGGGATGGCATTTCTTTGGACTGAATTGGTCGTCGTATGAGGTACTTATAATTAAGGACATTTAGTGCCATTTGTCAGTGAGAGATTCTTGCTAATGCAGGATGATGCCAGGCGCAATAGAGCACTTATTGTGGATGACTACCTGAATGAGGTTGGAATAGCTTGTGTGGCCAGTTCAAAGTCCAGGCTCGAAAGCTTTGTCCCACACATTTGGGGTCAACTTAAACGAGTATGAAGTGAAAAACTAGGTCCTAACACCCTAGAAGAGTTGGAAACGGCTTTTCTTTATGAATTGGAAATAATTACTCAGGATTTTACCAGAAATCTTTTCTAAGGAATGCAAAGGTGCTTAAAAGATGAAATTCATGCCAGATGTGGAAATTCTTGGTATTAAAGGGCCCAACAAATTTTGTTTTACTGTTTCTGTTTTTAATTGTTTTTTTTTTCTTTTTGTTCTTTACTCGATACTTTTTTTAAGAATTAGGGAATAAATATTTTCTTTTTAAATGTCTTATTTTTACAACCAAACCTGTCTTTGATATGTAAAATAGGACAAAAATATATTAAAATTTAAGGGTGGTGCATTAATTTTGTCCATCAGTGTTTATTTACTTATTTATTTTACAGGCAAAGCATATTACCATTATACAATAGTGTGGTGATTAGTGACCGTTAGTCGATAATTATTCAGAAATCGTGAGATCACACTAGACCGCATCTCATGATTTCTGAATAATTATACAATAGTTACAAACATACTTAGGATAGCTAATATCGAGATTCATTATAAGACATAAAAGTTAATTAAACTGTTAACTGAACTACAATTACAATAGTTATTCAGATATCGTGAGATGCGGTCGGGTGTGATGTAGGTTTCAGAAAAATATTTTCTTTATCGTGCCAACGTTTCGATCTTTTATCGAGATCATCTTCAGGGCCTGGTAATTACAAACAATGTTTACATTTAACAAATACATTTAGGATGTGGAAAAGTGAATTTATACAATGCAAAATATATTTTATATTCAAACAAAGTGAGTAGAAATAAATTAGCTGTGTGTGTTAACCTATGGGACTTTCTTTTATTTAATTATTCTTCTGGGTGGAAATAAAAAATACTTTATGTTTCCGGGATGAGAGCTGAGAGCATTAAAGTTCAAGTTGGAACGTAAATAAGGAGACTCGATCTGATTAAAAAGGAAGATGAGGTCAAAGAAAAGTTAAAATATCAAAAGAATCCAAAATATTAAAGTAGTCATGTATAGCTTGGAAATTTTAAGTTTGTAAGCTGCATCTTAGAAATTTAATCTGATTGCTTCTATTTGTTGGATTTGTTTATCATAACAGGAATATTCAAGATGTGATCTATACATATATGTATAGGTGTAAATTATGACTCGGGTGTATAAAATTAAATTGATTTTTATTTATGTATATTCCTGCCAATGTTATTGCTTAAACATCTCTACAGTAATATGTATATATTTTGTTTTTTCTTTCATGTTAAGAGATGCCAGGAGTACTGTATGCCAAACCCGATCCATTAGATGTTCTGGAAGCACAAATTTTAGATCTAGAGAAGAAAATAATTGGAGATGCCAATTTCAATGAACGGGACACACCCTTGGCCGAATCACTCGTTCACAGCAACAACACAATCAACAATGAAATCTCATCGTACTCCAACATCAAGACTATGTTTGACCGAATTCAGCAGCTGGGTAACTTTCTCAACCCGACCTACGAGGACACACTAGTCAACCGGATGGGCAAAGTGAGAGTGGTACTAGAATCAGAAGTCGAACTACGCCAGCTCCTCGATGACCTTTCTAGGCTCGACACCTTGAATAACCAACTCTCCCCAGATCCTCTTAAGAACATTCCCAGTCTTTACGAACGACTCAGTGTCGTTACAAAGAACACAATCAGGCTCGATGAGGATTTCAAAGAAGTTAACAATAAAACCAAATTTCTTGTGAATAGTTTCTCTTCGGCAGTACGCACCATGAATCATTGTTTACTAGTTTTTGATGCTGTGCTAACAGAGATGGAAAGAAATGATAAAGTAGTTAAAAATGATAATTAACCATTATGTTTATTCATGATTTTGTACATTTTATTCGTCAATTTGTTTGAATAAATTGTATATTTACTTATCCAAATGCTAGTAATATGAGTTGAAAGTTTTGTGTACCCAGCATGGATAATATATCAAACGTTTTCATCAATTTGTTTTTACCAACCTATTGTTGAAAATGCATCATTATTTGTAATTTTTTCTTAAGTTATGAATCTATAAAGCTTTATTTTTCAATTTACAATCTGATTGAATGTACAACTCAAAAGATAACACTACTATGGAAATTTAATATAACAGTTGTTTTACATACATAATAGATTCACTGTTGAATATGTCCTTTTAAATTCAAAAAATAAAACGATTTTGCTTATTGAATACCAATAGTATTGACAATAAGAAACATAACACAAGAAAATATCAATGCACATAAAAAAAGGAAAAAAAGTACATCAGGTTTATATCCAATCAAACATGATCTCAATCGCACAGTGTCAAATTGTATTGAAATTTTTCTTAACAAGTCATTAGTACTGCAAAATATTTAACAAACTATGCCGATGACCTATAATTGCTATTGTTTATTTAGAAACATATGTTTTTACAAATAACACATTATTTTAAGTGTTAGAACATTTAATTATGTGTGTCTATTTGTTTGTGACCTTGTTTGTGAAATTTCCAAACTAAACAATGCCTTACACGTATTTATTCAAATACATTATTATAGGCGACACAGGTGTCGGCAAATCTTGTTTGCTCTTGCAGTTTACTGACAAGAGATTTCAACCGGTTCATGATTTGACGATCGGAGTCGAGTTTGGAGCCCGGATGGTCCTGATTAAGGGGAAGCAAATAAAGCTGCAAATTTGGGATACGGCCGGGCAGGAAGCTTTCAGGTCTATCACAAGATCTTATTACAGAGGGGCTGCTGGTGCTTTACTCGTGTACGATATAACGAGGAGAGAAACCTTCAACCATCTAACAACTTGGCTTGAAGATGCACGTGAACACTGCAGTATTAATATGGTTATCATACTCATCGGGAACAAGTCTGATCTCCGGTCTAGGAGAGAAGTGGCATTTAACGAAGGAAAAACCTTTGCTAACGACCATGGCTTGATATTCATGGAAACTTCAGCAAAAACTGCAGCAAATGTAGAAGAGGCTTTTATTTACACTGCTAAAGAAATTTATGAGAAAATTCAAATAGGTGTTTTTGACATTAGCAACGATGCAAATGGAATTAAACTTGGACCACTTAAATCCATGCCAGATAGTAATTTGTCACAAAGTGCTGAAGATCCTCATCAAAACTACACTTGTTGTTGAATTATACTTTTTAATTTCACTTTTGTTTCCTTAAGAAAATTTAAACTGTTAATTTACTTAAATTTGTTTGTGTACAAATTGTTAAGCTTAAACTAACCTACTTGTAAATTGTTTTTAAGTTAATAACAATTGATAGTTTGTAATTATAGTAATACTATTGTAATACCTCTATAATATCTAGGCATTTTTGCCTCTGAAGAAGAGTCAATATAGACTTGAAATGTAAAGATATGAAATGAATTGTTTTGTTTTCTTCTCCACCTCACTTAGTCCAATCCCATCGTACAATGGGGAAATTTCCTACATTTTTACATCCATCAACTTTTTGTGCTCTGAATAGAGAGTGCTTCTAAAAAGTGACTCCAAAGCACAGGTAATGCCCAATGGTAGGGAGTGGGATCACAGAACGTTGAAAACTGGCACCTCCTTCTTGACACTGCAAAAAGCACATCTTTACCTTCAAGAATGTTGACATTGGAACAAAGTATTGATACAACTGTGTTTCTTAAATTTACAACTGAAGGGATGTTCACTACAAGGCACTCCAATCCTAGTGTGGGATTTAGTCTGACCAATTGAACGCATCGGTGGCTACAAAGGTTAAGACATTACCAAAGTGATACATTACTGTAAAATAAAGGTTCTGGATTGGAATTCAGCATTACTGGAATGAATGTCTGTGAGGAGCTTGAAGATTCTTGTTGTAGAAATTATTGAACATCAGAGCAGTGTGCAAAGTTCTAGTGTGGGCAAAGGTGACCGATAAACTGCGTGAATGGCTAACAAAACACCAACCCTTTTCAGAAACATCACTGAGCACTGGCATTATTGGAAAGCAAATATAAACTGTCATTCAGCTCAAGTAGTTGGCATGGAAATTGTTACAAAAATGACACTGTAAATTCAATACAGTGACAGAGAAATGAGGTTGTTTCCCTGACATCCATTATCAGGTTCAAAGTAGCTGCAGTCAATTCACTGGCCCTTTCCCAAAGATTGTTGCTGATTAGGGATGGTTAGAGTAAAAAAAAGCTTGATATATGAACTGTACTGTAGATGTAGCCATAACTATCGAGACATTAAGTAGCAACTGACATCTCCGGTACACATCACTTTAAAATTGGTGAAAACAACTACTTTTTTGTCATTATATGATATGTTTGGTCTTTCTCTAGTTTTCTTTGTTCACATCAAGCTATTGGAACACTTGGATAAGCCAATGGTACCCTAGCTAAAGCCTCTATGTTAAATGACTTGTACTATTGTGCTAGACCTTTAGGGTATTTTTTATGAAAAAATAAAATACAATTTTAATAATAACAATCATAATTATAATTATTTTTATTATTATTTTAATAAAAGGAAAATTATAAATAAAGGCAATGTTAGGGATACAGAATTTATTTGTTCCAATTATTTTTTTTTTAAATTAGACCGTCACTAATTACCACACATTTAAAATTAGATTTACACCCTTTTTTTCTTTTAAATTGTAATCTTCAAACTTAAATTTTACTAAAAAAATAAAACCTACTCTTCTTGAAACAATATAAAAAAAATTAAAATATAATAAACAAGCATTTAAACTATTGTTAAAAATAAATGAATTAAAATTTATGTATGCGCAATCCCCAAGGAATAAAATTAAGGAAATATGGAATGGGAAAAACTCACAGGATGAATGCTGTTTTCTGATGAGATGAATCTTCACAAGCAAAGTTGAAGCAGCCAAGTTCGAGGTGGTTTGTTCGCAGTCTCCCAATGGAAAGCATCCTGACCTCCGCCTTTCAGCCACTGCACTTTTGTCTCCCATGAGTTCCAAAGTCCATCGCCTCCATCACGTTCATTTCGATTTGTTTGTTACAAAATTTGTAAACCCCAAAAAATGTGCGAACATACATGACAAAGTCTGTGTGAGCACATAATTGGTATGCGAGATACATAACTGGTTGTTGAATATGAAGATCGTTCTATGTGCGTTGGATGCAGATGTAGACTGTTTTGAGTTCCTTCCAGATGGTAGACGGATTAGGATAGGAGAAGAAGGAGTACCCCGTTTTTTTTTCTTCTTCTTTTTGACCCTACAGAATTTAAAATTAAAATATAATGTTGTATTCTTAATATAAATTATAATTTTATGAATTTAATACACTATATGTACATATTATTATAATTACAGAAAATTATCATTGGTTTCTTATTTTTAAACAAAATTTGTTGCACTATGTTACATAATTTGGTGCTGGGTGTACGATTTAATTTATGAAATTTCATGTATACCTTATTAACAAATTTATTAAATTCAAAATACATTTATTATGACTTATTATACTTTTTTGTTAAGTGCCAATTATTTTTAATGTTTTTATCTTTTAATTTATTTAAATTTAATTTTTATTTAAGTATTTTTTAATTTTTTTACTACTTCAGGATCACAGTATTTCAATTGTGAAATATGTGCCATAATTATTTTATCCTGTGCAACATTGCAATCCTCGATTGATTTTATTATATAGGAAACTCTAGAACGTACGTTTATATTTCATAAGGGCCTGAAAATTTTGGCATTAATTTGGCATTTTTTTGGTGCAATTTACTTGATAAATGATGTTTTATACATGACAAAATTGCCTACTTTAAATTCTAAATTTTTGAATTTTTATTAAAGTTCTTTGAAGCAATATAATGTGCATTTTGTAAATTTTTTAATGCATTGGTCCACATTTCTATCATTTTATTTTTGTCTGTTAATTGATCAATGGATTCGTCTACTGTAAATTTAAAATTTAGTGGGTGATTCATTTGTCTTCCCAAAAATAACAAGGTGGGAGAATATCCCGTTGAAGAATGTACAGAATTGTTTAAAGCAATTAAATGAAGAAGCAAATTTTTGTCCCAATTTTTTTGATCATCACTGCAATTTGCTGATATACAAGTTTTTAGGGTTCTGATTGTACGTTCTGCAGCTCTTGAGGGTAGTTAGGTATGTTTAAGTAGTAAGTAATTCCAAGAGAAAAACAAAAGTTTTTATATAATTTTTGGAATTCCAAAGGATGAAAAAACAATGCATTTATGACTGAAATGGTTGTATTGTATAAAGTTGCAAAAATAAATTTGGAGAAGGCATCAACGCCTATTAAAATGTACTGTGCCTTTGTTATATTCCCTCTGGGTAAAAACTTTAGATAGGCTTAATGGGTCTATTTAAAGTTTTTCGAATGGTTGTTTTGCGTGCATGTTTGATTTTAAGAATGGGTCTATCTAAAGTTTTTCGAATGGTTGTTTTGCATGCATGTTTGATTTGAAGGTATGTTTCATATTTGTATTGAGGGGTTTATTTTTGCACAAATCATGCATGCTTTTATTCTATTTTTTATGTCCCTAGTCATTTATTTATGAGTAAAATGTTGCTTTATGCGTTGCAAAGTTTTTCTAAATCCAAGATGAGCTCCAGGGGACCGCGGTAGCCGAGTGGTTAGCATGAGAGACTCTCACGCCGCGTTCGTGGGTTCGATTCCCACCGTCGCCTCTGGCCCTTTTTTCACAATAACCCCCCCAAAAAAAATTTGAACACACATATACGAATTGTCACATGGCTAATATGCATAGTTCATAACGCCAAAAAGAAAAAAGAAAAAAAAAAAAAAAAAAAATGAGCTCCAATTTTACTATCATGGAAATACGTAAAAATAACCATATACAAAATTTGCAGAAGTAAAACTTTTGGTGCTGGCATTTTTTTACTTTTGTACTACAAAATTTTACCCTTTAATCATGAAAGCAAATCAGCGATTTGATTGATTTTTTTTTCCTGGTACATGTGAAATTTTAAAATCATACCCTTGCAGCAAACTGAACCAACAATTTAATTTTCCTGTTAATTTTAGATTATTAATTAACCAAGCTAAAGCCACACAATCGGTTCTTAATGAAAATTGTTTGAAACGCAAATACTGAGAAAAATGTATGATTCCAGAAATTATAGCTGTCAATTCTTTTTCGCAGACATTGTATGCTAATTGAGATTTTGATAGTTTTCAAGAATAATATGCGATTGGAAGTAAAATATTATCGTGATATTGACCTAAAATGCTCCTATTCCGGTTTGAGATGCATCACACAATAATAAAAATTCTTTTGCAAAATCGGGCATTTGCAATATTGGTGCAGTTATCAATGAATTTTTTGCTTCATCAATGCTTGTTTACTGTAAATCTCCCCGTTGTAATTTTGTAGATTTTTTTAAAATCATTCAATGGGGATAAAATATGTGATATTGATGGTAAATATTTTGAATAATATGATACGGAGCCAATAAAATTTGCCAGTTCTTTAAGAATTTTAGGTTTGAGGGTTTTTAATATAGCACTTACTATACTATATAATTGCATTTTTCTTGGGTTCACAGTTAAGTTAGCGTGTCTCATTTTTAAATAGACAGTCTAATACATTTTTATGATATAAATTTCCTTTTGTATAAATTAATAAGTTGTCCACAAATGACCAAATAAATTTAAATTTTTCTTCCCTGAAAACCTCATCAATGAGCATAGATAAATATCTGCTTCCTGCTCTCATGCCAAATGGAAGAAAATTATACTGGTATTTTCCAATTGGTACAACGAATGACGTTGATTCTGTAGTATCTTTGTTTAAGGGTATTTGATGAAATGACTGATTTAAATCGAATATTGAAAAATAATTAACCTCTCATAAAAAGTCACAAACAGAATTAATAGTTGGTAAAGGATAGTCAACATATTTTATAATTTCATTAATTTTTTTGTAGTTAATCACCAATCAGTAAGATTTTTTGTCAGGTTTCGGGACTAGAAAGGCAGATGAAGCACATGGGCTATAACTTTTAGAAATAACTCCCTTTTTTAAAAGATCATTAATGATTTTTTTTTTTTTTTGAAAATGGGCTATTAGTTTATGCGTATCATTATCATAATTTTGATTCGTATTTAAGTCTTTATTATTAATTATTATAGCGTTCAAATTTTTGAAATTATTTTTAAGGAAGTTATAATGTGGTAAAACGGAATAGTACTTTTTCTTATCAAATTCAAAATAGAATTGATCCTTAAAGGGTATAATTCCGATTTTATAATATTTTTATTTTTGTGATTAGGTTTAAATTTCAATTATTTAGTGTTTGTAAACCCCAAAAAATTTATTTTTAGCTAAAATATGGTTTATATTAAGTCAACGACATATATTTGTATTTATTATTTTAGTTTTTGTTTTACTCCAAATATCAAGAAATAATTAAGGGTAATAATAATTAAAGGGGCTGCTCTACTGCTGATGGCATAAGAACCCACACTATCAATTAGTACCACAGACAGAAGGATAAAAAGAAAATGAAGGAACAATGGAATTCACTCATTGGACACAAACAATCCAAGAACCTCCTAACAAATTTCAGAAGGAAAGAAGAGGCAGAATATATCAAAGGAATCAGGAAAAAACTGCACATCTTAACAGGACACTGAAAACTAAATGGAGAATTAAAGAAGATTATATAATCCGAGACAGCACATGAGATTCTGCAAAGAGGCAGAGGAGACACCAACACACCTATTAACAAACTGTGGTCTTACATTTGCTCGCAGGAGTAAGTGCTTTGGGATGTACAATGTGACTGTTGATTCAACTTGAATTTCTTCTACAGTCACATTGTACATCCCAAAGCACTTCGTATTTCATTAAGGAACTTGATTAATTGAATTGAAACCGGGCTTACTAATCATGTTCCTAGATGAAATAGGACTCACCGGCTATCGGAAGTAGTCCCAGAACGGGGTATAATAATAGTACATCTACATCTAGATATGAAGGCCTGTTATTATAATTGACAGTTGCGCCGTTGGGGCTCTGTTATTTCAACTTTGTATAATTCTGTACTTCTGATGTAGGATAATCTCTTGTACTGTGGATAATCTACTAATAATAATAAAAGTTTTTATAAATCTCAGTAATATTAATTAAACCATCCTGTTAACATAAAAGTGACTTACTGATATCTTTCAATTTTTGAACATTTGGTGAGCGTTTCTTTAGTGACTAATTAACGAGTATAATATTTGTTGATCGATGACAATCGCAAATTATCGATGTTTTATTTCGATATTCAATTTTTGTATAACTGAAAACTATTGTTTACTTTTTCAAATTTCCAGTCTGTAGCCTCAAAGGTTAAAGGTATACTTAAACAGACGTGGTTTATTATCAATACTACAGTTCGTTGGACTTTGAAATTTGAAATCCCTTGAGCACCTGCATGTATATTCAGGTTTAAATATCGTTCTGTCTTCATGAGCATCTAGTCTGTTTTTTTCTTTTCGAATCAATAACCCAGGAAATGTAAGTTATCCGTTTGGCACCAATCTGTTTAAATTTTCTGTACTGTACAAACGTTTCGTATTTACTAACCGAAATTAGTAAAAGCCCCCCGTGGTACCAAAATCACCTTGATTTAAAGGTTGTAGGGATACTCGTCGTTATTCCAACATCACTTGTACAAGAAAAATTACGACTTATGTGCCGAGCATCTCAATAGAATAGACTGAGAGTAACCCCCAAATTGCGCGACCTACGATTGTAGGGAAGGTCTGAACCACATAATACTGGAGGGCCCAAAGTACGAGGGATGAAGAAAATGTATTATCAAAGGTGTAGAAAGACTGTATTGTTGGGAGTCCCTGATTTCTATGAGTAGGAAAGAAATCTAGGTTGTGATCGAATGGCAATATGAAAAACTGTAGTAGGTACGTGGTTGTTGCAAGGGGGTGGTCGGGTGACGGAGGTGGAGCTGGGTCTCGGCTGGGTGGCAACATAAAAACAGTTTTTCAAAAATGCTCATTTACTTTTCCTTTCATTTCACCTTTATTATATTTTATTTATTCCTATAATTAATTGGGTATTATTACATAAACTCGTCACATTAAATTTTATTTAGATGGAGAAATGTTTATTGATGATTCAGGAAGACTCCAAAAGTCCAACCTGTCAAGGTATGGAAAAAATCTATTAATTTTTAATATTTATGTTAATTTTTTATCTGCCATTTTTAGCTGATCTTATGAACTTTAGCAGTCCAGAAGTACTGCCCAAACAAATGCCAGTAGGAATTGACAGTTCAATTATTAAGGAATTTTCTGTGAACGGTTCAGACGACCCTTTTGAGTTCCACCTAGAGAAGGCAATAACGATGGGTAGAACCTATAGTTTCAGGCAGACGAATGCCAATAATTGTAATGCGAAAATAACAGGCACTCCTGATTTTAAAAATTCAAATTCTCCGGTTTTTGTAAAGAAAAGACAAAGGCCAAGATTCAGTTATTGGGATTCGTCGTTGGTAGAAAAAGATGCAAGCTTTGACTTACTAAATGATACGATTAAGTTTGAAAATTCTGTAATGATAAATTCTCCATTGCAAAGAAGGCGCAGCCTAAGTGTTGATAATCTAACTTTTTCTTTACATGAAAAGGTATTCTTTACTTTTATGTTTATTTGTTAGAGTTTACACTATCTCATGAATTGTACATATTCATTTCAGGACCCAGCAATACCTTTTGAATATATAAAAGCAGAAGCAAAAAAGATCGCAGAGCTCATTGAAAAATCACAATTTTTTAATAGTAATCTGTCATTATATGCAGTTTAATTAGATAGAATGGAACTAATACATACATCATTATAATATTCAAGGTAAACAGGAAGAATCTGTTGAGAAAATGTTGACTGATGAAGTGCCTACTGGTTTGCAAATTTCAACTTCGAGTGAAGAGGGAATTGGTCTTCCTGAGGTAGTAATTTTCAGTACAAAGAAGGACTCTAATCCGGACATAACTAATAAAGCAGAGTACATAAAATATAAGCAGTTTATCTCTTCTCATAACAATTCCTCACAACAGGTAGACAAGAAAATAACTAATATTAAATGCTCTTTATTTTGATTACTTTTTTTTTTAGATTGCTACTTCAGAATCAAAAACAACTAATGACAAAGCTGATGAAAATACATTATTTGATGAAGATAATAGTAGCATTGATGGACACAAACAAACTAAAACTTGTGTCATTGAAGAAAAGGAAAAACTGTTAAAAATGGGTTGGTACATGTTATACATTATATATATACATACAGGGGAGGACATCTTGTTAATATTGTGAAACCAAATATGAAGATCGCGAACTGCCAAAACACGGCTGACAGAAAAAACAAAAATGCAAGCCAGCAAAGCTGCAGCCTAGGTTCTCGGAGGCCATTTTAACAATTTATATAATTTTACAAATTTACTTGGCCGGGCTCATCTGCTTATCTGAAATTGCCACAAAATGATAATACTTTCCAGACTGAAATGGTAGTGAAAAATTATTCTTGGATGGCTAATTCCTTAAAAAATGGTAGTTCATTAGTTATTGGTAGATAATTTAATTTAAAATTAATTATGGTGCAAAATACCATATAGTCAAGCCTTTTAAACATCCATTCAAGTGGGTTCCCTCCAAAATCCCATTCAGTCAATCAAACTGAATGAGGTGGTTGAATCATTGAATCTAATGAACATCCAAAATGTTTATTTTTTTTTATTCTTAACCCACTCTATCCCACAGACTGAGAATAGAGTGGGTTAATGTAAAAAATTAATTCTACCTATAGAATAGAATAAGAATAATAGTATTATCAAGATAAGATAATATATTTTTTTATTCAAAATGTTGACAAAATTAATAGTGATGATTTCCTCAGAGCCCAAACGCACACACATTGCCTTGTAACGTGTAAATCTTGGTGCAAAGTTGTGTGCTGTTATATCCCTCACATTTTGTCTAAATTGTTTGAGAACAATTCACCCAAATTATACAAATTACTATTTGTGAAATCAATTTTCTTTATTAAATATGTGTGGTGATTACTGACCGTTAATCGATATTTATTTAGAAATCGTGAGGTGTGGTCTGGTGTGATGTAGGTAGGATGTAAGGCATCGGCTTCTTTAAGGTGAAAAGAGCCGACGAAGGGAAAAAATGTGTTGGTAATGGTTCGGCCAGATTATCCTTTCAGGATTATATAGAAAGGGATAAATAGGAAAAGGAAAGCTAAATTGTTGGTAAATTAGACTATGTGAAAAATATTTGATGTGTGGAATGTAATGTGATGATATAGGTATGTTATCTGTATTGAATTTGATTAATGATATTGGCATAGCTGCGACTGAGTTTACATGTATCTGTTCTGTAATTGATGCTGTGTTTATCTCTGTTGATATAAACCATTTCTAAGAAATTACATTTATGTTCTGTGTGTAATACTTTTGGATTTTTGAAGTTGAAATTGTGTTAGTGTTCAAGATGGTGGGTAGCGAGTGCTGTAGGATTTTGCTTGGGTTTTTTGCAATCATAGATATGTTGCTTTACTCTCTTGCCCAGATATTGGGATGTAAGACCGATGTAAGTTGCCAGACAGTTTAAACAGTTGATCTTGTAGATTACGTCAGATTTATTGTTATTGATGTGGGATCTTTAATTTTGGAAAAAAGTGTTTGAATTGTTTTATAATTGTTGAAAGCTATTTTGAAGTTATCGGACAAGAGAAATGTGTTTAATTTATGTGATAGGCCTTGGATAAATGGTATGGAAATGTATGCTGGTTTGTTTGTATTCGATAGACTTAATTTAGTACTATTAGTAATAGTGGATGGTGTTGGTGTTGAGTTGTAATTGTTGATTATTCTGTTAATTATGTGTTTAGGGTAGAGATTTTTATGGGGGATCTGTTTGTATATCTTTATGTTTTTGTGGTGGAAGGATTCATGGCTTAAGGTAATCATTCTGTGAAGTAACCCTTTGGCCGTGTTTATTATTGTATGAAGGGGGTGGTGAGATGTAAAGTTGAGGTAGCGATCTGTTTTCTTAAATGTACTGTTGTTTGATCCCTCATCATCTACACCCGAGTAGTTGGACATTAAGCTTTACTTACATTAGACCTTTGCTTTTTACATTAGAACCACTAATGTATTGATATTGATCTGTTTAATTTCTCCTCCATATATGTACATATAAGGAGCCAATGTTGGCAATGATGAGGTACTTTTTTGTTAGTACTGTCCTTTTGATATGGTTAATTCCTATTTTTTCCAGTGTCATAAGAAGAAAAGGAAAATAGTTGTATAGAACTTCAGTATAGTGGGCTCTCTTTTTCTCATTTTTGCTATGAATACTAACGTCGCGCAATACAGGGTAGGGTATGTAACCGAATGTCATGACATCTAAAATCAGCAGTTAAAAGTCTAATGTCAACGACGGTTGACTGCAACTAAGCAAAGAAATCAACCATTATATTGAACAGTCTGGACACCACCAGCCAAGTGTCAACCTAACAGTTTAGAAAACCGAATGTGCACATTGCAACCATTACATAAACTGTCGGCCGATAGTTTAGTCTGGCATCTGTAGTTAGTGTGCAGTGGTCCTAAAAATTATAATTAACATATTTTCTAGATCATGCTAAACTGAAATTACTTCAAAGAGACATTGAAGAGGTGAAATCGAAGCCATTAAAACCGATAAAGAAAAAAAAGGCCAAAGGCCCTGAGAAAAGAGGACCGCTAAAAGTCTTTGCACCACATAATTCACAAATTTTAAACAATACAAATGGTATAGCATATGTGATTTCTTTTTCATTTTCTGTTATTATTATTATTTTAAATGTAGTAGTATGTAAATACACACACAAATACATAGATTTATTTATTATTATTATTTATCTATTTTATTTTAATTTTTTTAAGCTTCAAGAAAACGATTAATAACTACAACTGTAAGTATGAAACTCATTTGTTCAACTAGGTATAATTACCTTTTTATTTTTAGGAGAATGCACCATTTTCAATTCCTATGGCTACATCTACACCTGAATCGGAAAAAATGCCTGTTTTAAAGAAACCAAATACAAATGCAACACAGTAATTTTGTTTTATTCGGTGGTTTAATCATGTTTTAATAAAACTTTTTTTTAGAAGTAAAAAAAGAAATTTAAAGATGGTCAAAACTCCAGTTGAGCTCAACCATCCATATTCCCATGCAAAAATGAGTATTAAGGTTTGCATTTACTAATGTTCTTAAGTTTTTATATTACATTACCCTTCTCACTTTCAGCTTGATAACGTTAGTAAAATAACATCAAAGAAGCCTGTAGTTCCTTCAGCCAAAACTGAAATTTTGAGGAAATAGTCAACCTTACTGACTGTATAAAACAGGTATATATTTAAATCCACCTCTAATAGGTTTTTTATTTTCTCTGATTTTCAAAAGTTTTTACAGGTTTGGGTCAGCCGTTACAAAATAATAAATGTATACAAGTGTATTTACAATAAAATCTCATCTTTAAAAAATAAAATATGTTTCGTTTTACTACTTTTATGAACAGATTGTATTATAAAATTATGTCAAAAGGTTTATATGAATATAATATATTGTTTCCAAAAAGCTCAACACTTTTGGTATTTATTTAACCCTGCTACAGCTCATAAATGTGGTGAGCTCAATGGTTATACATATTTGTTGTCACATCTGCAGGCTCATATTTGAATTTAAACGGGTAGATATTCCTGATCAGTACTGTACATGTTTATACTTATTAATTCTGTCAGTTTTTGCATTAGGGATAAGGACAGGGCTAAAAGAGGCGGCCACAAGGCCTTCTGCACCTCGATCTGAGTAGATCTATTGTGCTCCTCTGTTTTGTTATAACTCACTATAAAGCTTCAGGTAGTTAATCAACCTCCATAGCCTTGTCAGTGGCTCCTTAGTGTAGGATCTTGCTTCATCTTTTCCTCTCCTAGTTGCAAGAATCTGCAAATGTATAGATCTTCACAAAAACATAAAATGTGTACTGTGGTCTCCTCTTGGAAGTATGTGCACAGTGTATCTGTAATCCTATCCGGTGCATGTGCCTTCTTAGGTGGCAGTGCCCTGTCAGGAGTCCAACCAGAATCCTGGTTTGGTTGCAGTCACTTTCCAGTAATTTCTTCGTAAGTTTTCTGGATGGCCCTTCCATGAATCTGTTCGCGTGCCTCATGCCTGGTGCCACCAGGTTTTGGACTCATTAAGTATCCATTTTAAAATGTACTCTCTTTTGTGGCAAGATACTAGACCACAGTAGGGTTCGGGATATAGAGAGTCCATATTGGCTTTCTTTTTGGCTAACTTGTCGACCTTTTCATTGACTATGCCCCAATTACCAGGTCAGGTCACTATTGTCACTGACTTCTGCCAGGGCCTATATGCAGTCCCAAACACTCTTTGCCTTTACCCTTGCATGAGACTAGGGCCTTTAGTGCTGTGCTGCCTGAGATGGCTCTTCTTCCAGGACAATATTCTAGCCCTTTTATTTCCCTGGCACAGTGTTCAACTACTATGATTTACAGTCTGGAAAGCTGTAGAATATTTACCTAAATTTACAGCCAGTTCAATCTTTGGATTCATCCCAAAGACTCTAACCCCTGGGCCATTGTCAGTTTTTGAGCCATAAGTATACCAGTGATCAGACGAGAACCGGTGTATTCAGCATGGTATGGACGTTGGCTAAGTATACCAGTAGGAGTTTGCCTTTAGCGGTGTTCCTCTGGTCCATTCTTCCCGTTCTGGTATCAGTACCTTGTACTTTTTATTAAAGTGTTTCGGAGTAGTGGCATCAATTGGCATACCTGGAATGCCATCTGCCTGTATCTCCTTGCTCAATTTCCATTGTTTATTTACATGGCCTTTTCCTCAGATTGAAATATCTGGCTTTTCCTCAGATTGAAATATGAAATGATGTGAGGTTTGACAACACTACTAAAGCTGTGCTCATGGCTCCAGGGATACAGAGACAAACTTGTTTTTGGGTGCCACTTAATAGCTTAACTGCTTTGGCCTGTAGTGTCTTGGTCCATCACACCACCGACCCATATGTCAGATTGTCAGCATTGGTCTTAAGGTGCAGGTGCAATATGTAATTTGTAAGGGTCACATGGCATCGTAAATGAATATTAATTTGTTTTGGAAATTTGGAACATGTGATGAATCAGTGAAAAGATAAAGTAAAATATCTGAAATATTGACTGTTAATCAATGTAACTCTGTAGTTAAATGACATTATTTGATTGAAAGAAGTCAGATAAAGTGAAATAAGTGTTTTAGTTGCATATTGTGTTTCTTTTGTAGTGTTTAATTGTATACAAGTATGCGATTAATAAAATCCTATTGTTGTACCAATCAAATAACGTCATTTAACTACAGAGTTACATATATGTAGGGTCATTTTGGGGTTTAATCCCCAGTTTTTGACACAGAGCCTACTGCACTTCTCCCAGGCAATTTTGGCTTTCTGGGTGGTTTTTATATGTTGATTCCATGTGAACCACTGGTACAGTGCGATCCCTAGTTATTTGGCCTCCTTGGAAAATGGGATCAGGGTCCTGTTGTACTTAAAGTTTTTTTTAGACACCTATTGTCATCTATCTTGTGAATGGAATCATTATGGTTTTGTGGACGTTAATAGATAGCTCCTCCCTTTTGCCTTGTATATGATCCATCATGATGTCACCATGGTAGACCGTCACCACTTTAGCAAGGTCGTAGCTTAGACAGTAGAATCTTTCTCGTTCCATTGTTTGTAGGAGTTCGTCTACCACCGTCAAACACAGTAAGAGGTAAGAGAACCCCTCCCTGTTAGCACCCTCCGGATGGTCGCCCGCTGATGGTGGATGTGATTATCCTGTTCCTTAGGCCTTCTTCCACCCATTGGCAGATCTTTTCCGAGACCCCTGTTCTTTTATTGCTTTTTACAGAGAAGATGTGGTTGCATAGCTTTTGTATTAAGTGAACAGATTACATTTTGTACTTGTGTCAGGAGTTTTCTTGAATCTCTACAATTTAGCATTTATGTATATATCAGATATTGTTCATAAATACGCTAAGCTCGATAACTAAGACACCTAAAATTGCAGAATATTATCTTTATTGAAAAGGGTTGGTTCAAATAGCTCTCAATTTGACGTTTACTGAATTTGTTCATTAATAGTTAAACAATATAAACCTGTAGGGAAAAGAACAAAAAAAATTGGGATGTAAATTAAATTCAGTTGTGTATGTCTGTAGGCCTATCCTTCAGTATAGAACGGCACGTCTAGTTTTTCTCCCCACTTCCGCACATCGCTCGAGTTCTCCAGCCCCTCCCTCAGGTCTGTCAGTAGTGTCAGTACTCAGTTGTCAGTAGGCAGTACTGTCACAGTAGTCAGAACCGGTGGGTGTCGAGTGCTGAAGTCTGTCGTCCTCTTCTCTTTCTCCTAAACTCAGTCTTCTATCCATAAAAAACAACACATGGATATTTGCATAAGTGTATTAAAACTGTGATATCACTCGTCATAGTTCGTACAAGGTAAATCGCTGTTTAAACATCACATTTATTCCTTCCTTATTCGTACGTATCGATATGTCCGTTAGCCTCCTGTTGTCTGTGAAAAAAAGAAACTGGATAATTACCTTTCTAATGTCTATATCAATAGGTGAAAAGTACAAGATACCTTTAAGGCTTAATATAATACTTAAAAACGGATATAAAAGTTTTATTCCAACGGAACTCGAAGAGTCTAATAACATGAGATTTGTCCGTAGATTATTGAATTATATGTTATTTGCATAACAATTTATTATGATATGTACAATACATAGATAAGACAATCGCCGTATTCAGTATTCTGGTTGGGCCAACCTTTTGAGTAGAAATTTTTCCGAAGATCGATATGCATTGAGTATTAAAATGCCGTTTTCTGTTTTCGAAAAAAAAGTTTTTTCTTTATATATTCTAATCTACTATTAATTACCGAGGGATTGGATTGATTTATTACTTTAAACTTTCTATCTCGTCAATTCGATAAAAATAAGTGTTTAATAAATAAGTGTTTGCAGTATTGTGATTATCTCATCTATTAAATGATTTGTTATTGTGTTAATGCTCTTGGCTAGAATTGTGTCTCTCTCATCATCTGTGTTATATTTTTGGATAGCGTAGCCTACATCCGCATCGTTTTAGCAATTGGGAAATTGGATTTTTTATAGTTTACATCGTCATTTCACACGAAACAGATATGAAATAAAGGTCAAAATCTCGGGAAAAAAAATGAAAAAGGTGTTTTTCTAAACCACCCATCAAGACTTCAACAGATAATAACTCATTTATATATGCTGATATATTTGCAACGAGATTGAAAGATTTTGCCTAAAGTTGAGACAATCTAATATAATAATGTTATACGTGTGCATCAAAGAATGCTAATTGTATAAGGATAGTGAATTTGATAGAAAATGAAGGGACCTGACAGGAAAAGTAAATAATTATGCAATTTAAAAACGTTCAGTTATTCCACTAAAAACTTGTATGCTTAGAAAAATAAAAACACCAATACCAATATGTTTATTTTTTCAAGAACAATTTAAACAACCTGCTAGTTGGCTATGCTGAGCTGGAACGCAATGACAGTTGCCAAATTGATGACATCCTCTTTGCAAATGACTATTTTTCTGTCCATTATAAACAGAGGCATTTGTAATGCCAAATATTTAAAACAAAAATGAGTTCTGTTACTGATATTAGCTTTTAATAATATGATTTTTGCATGAAAAAATGACCTTATGCCTTGTATATGACATATTTTAAAATGTATCTTTGCTGCTCTGAATCATCTTTGCAAGCCTTCTTCCGTTTATTTTAAAGTTGAATTTAAAAATAATTTGATAAAATCAAACAATCAGTATCGTTTGAATACAATGGAAAAAACTTAATTCATGAATACAGGTGGAATTTAAATGACTTTTTCTACCATCTTATACTAAAGAAACAAGAGAAACGTGACAAAAAAGTTCTATCATACATAATAATATTGCATGATATTATCTTCAACAAATAAAAGCCATATATGGTTCTAAAAAAAAGCATGGTTCTAAGCTAGCTAGACTAATTTATTCACAATTTTTCTGTATGTCAACATATCACTCCTCTAAATGTCAGTGCCTGCATTTCATACATTGTCATGCATTTCCTTTCCATGCCCCACAGTGCTAGTTTGAACTCATAAAAAATTATTAGAAAATTTCACTCATTGTCTTGTTTAAAATTAGAATGTCTACTTTCAAGGCAAATAAGCAAGTATATAAGACAGAGAATTTATAAATGTTTTACCAATGGAAAATTGCCCGGAATCAACGTTAATTTAAATATATTTCGAAGTTATGACACATCCCCGCCGGTATGGGGTCTCCCTTAGGTACGGTGGGGAGGTGGATGGGGGAAAAAAAGTGATGACACAAACGGACTTTTATGTATGTCAACCAATATTATTCCCCCTGCAGTCAACTAAGTTTTTTGAAGGTGCGACCTTATTCGTCATTAAATCTTATATCAGTACAGCCAATTTCAATCAGAGCAAAGCCCCTGCAAACCACAGCACAGTGGCAGCCCCCTCCCCCAGGCAAGGAAAGAACCAGGATTAACACTCAGGGTATGTTGTCCTGAACCAGTCCCATTGCAATTAATCTTACAAAACATGGCTAACCAAAATTCCTATAAAAACTGTTTATATTTTAATTTAAAAACTCATTAAAACTTAATTATGTTTGTTTGAGGTTGAAAATTCATAACGAACTATAGTAGTTTAAGGGAGTTTGTATCCTTGCTTCTGTATACAATAGTATTACAACATACAAAAATTAGATCCTTTGTGCCAATTCACCCATAGTAAAAACAAAATATTTTTCAACCTTTTTGTTTGTATGAAAATATTTTTGGTTACAGTTTATACAACAATTTTCTAGTAAGGAAATGAATTGTTTAGAAATGAGTATTTTCTTGTCATCGAGACCGCATGGTGAACATTAATTAATCAAATTTAAATTTAAATAATTTATTTTCTTTCTGCACATCAAGTTGCAATTTGTATAAGTAGGTTGAATTAAGACACATCTACATACAAAGCCTATCAGGTGAACAAGAATAAATAAAGCCGAAAGACTGCCTTTGATTTTCTTCATTACTTGACTTTCAAAGTAGGTAAGGTAAGGTCGAACATGAGGATGGCAAAGATTGATAGCTAAGTCATCTTGTTAAGAAGGGTTGATGCTAGTGCAGGGTATCCATGACGATGTTCATGGGGTGCCACCCTCTTTCAAACTCTCTGCCTCCCTAATACCATTCCAGTGACATTACATCAGACAACCGCCACACTCACACCAGCTTCTGTAGTTGTGATCTCTAATTTTCAGTGATTTGGAGCAATCCTTATGCTATTTGAATTTTTTAATTATATTTATTTTTAAATACAAATTTCATCTAAAAAGTAAAATTTTTGTTTTTAGACCAGATGGACTTCTCTAATGGAAGAAGCTGAGTGTTACGGAGGTTATGGGTCTCAAGACGTAACAAGTTCTATACTTCTGAATGATGTATGATTAAACAAACTTTTTTAGTGTTAAAACTACCTAATAAATAATGTTTTTGTTCCAGAAATGGCGGATGTTGTTTGACAAGGTAAGTAAATAAGTTTACTGCAAATAAGGTCATTTTACTTTTCATATTTTGCAACAAGGGAAATAAAATTAAAATTGCAAAGCAGCTAAATTGTTGACAAATTTATTCAATTACATTCATAAATGTAATATTTTATGTTTCTTGTGCATTTTCAACAATAATTAAAAATTAATTCATATATATTTTTTTCCCCACTTTTTAATGCAAAGACAGCTGTATAAGAAAAATTTGTGTCACAAGCAGGACTCGAACCCACGCTCAATACGCTGCTGATCTTACCACTTGAGCTATCACGACTTTAGTCCCCCAGGACACCACATTGAGCCGAAGATCGTATGTTTGAATCCCATTTGTGACTTTTATTTTCATCTCAACCAAGACCTTAGGTTCAAAGTATAAATAATTAAAAATCTGAAATGTAGCATTTCCCAATCTTCAGTGGTGGGTTTGTTGAACTGTTGGTGACTGAAACACCTGAAAACCAAGGTAAACAAAACTATAGGTTCATCACCCTGCAGACTTCAAGGAGAAAATAAGATAGTAGATTTGACCAACTAAGTGATTACTACCTAACTAATTAGAACAGCATATAAATGAATGAATGAAACTACTATCTTTGATGTTTGTGTTGCAATGATGTTATGATGTTGCAGTTTGACCCGGAAGGGTTTGGTGAGATTCCGTGGGATGACCTGTTGGTAGCACTAGACAGTCCAGAATTTATGGAGGAGATTACACCAAGCAAGAGGGATGTTCTTATACAGAAAGCCCAGCAGAGGACGACATCTGCCATCACTTTTCAAGATTTTGTAAATGTGGTAGGAATTTAGTTTTTTCATTATAGTTTAAATGATGTTTAATTGACTCCTGTAAGTTACTACAAGAAGGCGACAAAATAATTACTCAAAGTAATATTTGGGCCTTTTCATATATTGGAATAAGCAAGATGCATGTTTTGTGTGATTAAATTAATTATAAATTGTCGAACCATTTTAGATCCTACTTACAAACGAAGCTATCCTCATTTAAGTCTAAAATATGGCAACAAAGCTTAACTGAAGATAGTGTAAGCCAAATGGCATTTGTGTGACGTCAAGACTCATGAGAGGGTAGACAGACCCTACTACTACTACTCATTCACTTTTTGAAATAGAATAGTTATTAAATTCACTAATTTCGTGGTCCGCTTGACCAATTAATACATTACAATTAATTAATTGAAAAATGGCAAAAAGGAGGGAAAACTCATAAGGTGGGGTTGAGATAGGAAGTTGATGTCCGAGTGGATCGAGGTCACGATAGCTCAAGTGGTAGAGCAGCCTCTAGCCTATCTAGCCGAAGATCGTGGGTTCGAATCCCGCTCGTGCCATTAACTTTTTTTCATCTCAACTGACTCTTAATTAATAGTTATTAAAAATAATACCATTTATAACATAATAATACAAAATTGGAAGTAAACAGATTAGGAATCTTGGATCTTCCTTTGATGAAAGTCAGTAGTAGATCTAATGAAAAATATTTCTTTTTTCTCAGAATTGTTATTTTTCCATCATAATTTTATTTATTATTTATCAAAAACAAACAGAAAAGAAAAAACTAAGTTGGTAAAGCCCCTGGTAATGATAGAGTCCTGTTTGAATTTTATAAAAATGCTCCTCACAACTTTTTAGCGAAACTACTAAAAGTATTCAATCGAATATATGATAACCGGTAATATCCCAGAATGTTATACAAAATCTATAATATTTCCCCTCCATAAGAAAAGAGATCTAAACAACGTTGGAAATTATAGGGATATATCATTCTTGGACTGAATCAAAATTATTTTCTGGGTTGCTTCTTTTAAAGGTTCGGAGATGGGCAAAAGATAATAAAGTAATCAGTGAGTTTCAAGCTGGTTTTCATTCTGATTACAATTGATAATATTGTAATGTTAAAAGTGCAACAAAAGTGGCAGAAGGTGGTTTTTTTTTGTAGAATGTGATTGTGCGTATGATTGTGTGGATAGAAATTCATTGTATTATAAATTGCATTCTTTTGAGATATCCAATAAATTTGAGAGAACCATCTAGGATCTTTATTTGTTAATGGAGTTGTTGGTGTGGTCAGGGAATGGTATTTCCAAACATTTTGTAACTAACACAGGGGTGAAGCAGAGATGTGTTCTGTCACCATTTTTTTTCTTTTTTTCTTAATGAAATACATGATTTCCTTGGGGGCAGAACTGTGGTGGGGCTAAACATTAGATGCCTTTTGTACGTCAATGACAATGTGTGTTTTCTTGAAAGAGATGATTAATGAGTTAGAGAAGTATTGTGCCATGTGGAATTTAAAAATTATCTCTGCAAATCCAAGTTTGTAGTGTTTTGCAGGGGAGGAAAATTGGGAAGAAGAGAAAGGTGGGGGGGGGGTGAAAGTGCAGAGGTGGTTGATACTTACAAATATTTAGTATTAATACTTACAAATATGTAACTTCACAACTTAGTTTTAGAAATCACCTAGGAAAAATTAAATAGTGCCAAGTACATATAGTATCAGGTCTACATATGAGAATTTTATTAAAAATCGTGATCCCATTATCTGCTAAGTACAATGTTTTTTGAGCAGTCATCAGGGCTGTTTTATGTTATGGAGCACTGTTGTGTGGTATAAATCATATTGAAGAAATTAAAAAGTTAAATGTATTTTTTTATAAAGAAATTATTCACCTGCCTAGAAATTACTAGGCAACTGAACTTACGTTGTTTACCTTGAGACTGGAATCAGTTTGATATATTTTACACCTTGAGTACTCACGTTCAGTATATTAAAAAAGTAGTAGCTCTTGAAGAGTCCCATTTGCTACGAATCTTAGCAAAAGAAATAATAAAAAAAACTTATACTGGTATAAGGATTTGTGTGTGTGCCATAGAAAAGAAATAATTTGAGTGGGATTTGATACTCGTGAGGGATCAATTAAAGAACTGTTTTCAAAAATAAAATAAAAATTGTGTTTGGAATTTAATTAAGAATCTCAGTTTAGGAATGGTATCAATCTTTGGACTTGAATTTAAAGAACAACCATTACCTTAATTATAATTAATCTTTATGTAAGGTATTGGTTGAAATGAAAAACCTTGTGTCACAAATGGGATTCGAATCGAAAGCCAAAGGTCAAGGGTTCGAATTCCGCTTGTGTCACTAGCTTTTTCATTTTAACCAATACCTTACATAGAAATTAATTAATTGAATGAAGTTATTTGGTCAATCAGACCATGAGATATAATGGACTTAATTATAATAATTACCTTCATTTTATAGAAATGCTATTGAAAATCAGAAGGGACTTATGAATATGAATTTTCAAGCTAGCTGTCTGACCGGAAGTTGGCGACGCTCTCTTTGCAACGAAATGTTAAAAGAACATATCATTCCCTTTATTGCAGACTGTCTGATTCTGGCAGAATTCAAAGTTAATTATCTCAGTAAAATTATTGAGTAAGGACGAATGTTTGGATGTGCTAAATGGAAGAAATTGGAAACCCCTTTACACCTATGCAGCCCAAGCAGTCAAATACCTCAAATTTTTGATTGATGAATTTCATTATTAAATAGGACTTTTTTAATTTACTTTAATGTAAAGTACTTAATTTTACTTACTTTTTTTTTATTATTTTTTTATGTGCTATGTACTATTTCAATTTTTTTTTCTAGAAATAAAACGTTTATTTATTCATTAGCCAAATAAAATAACACATTCAGTTTCTTAGTTGACATTTCAAGGGATATATCCTTCATCAGGACTTTAAAACTTTAATTCATTATTTAATGTTATCAAATATGTACATCTATCCACAATTTCATGTTATGAAGTTAAGACTTTTATTTATGGGCCTTATGCATACTTACAATTTATTAACAATCACTATAATATCAACATAGAAATTTAATTCGCTAACAATCAATCAGCATATTAAATCTAGAAAAAGCAATTAAAAAATACGTTTTCATTAAACAAAATTAATATTTATGAAAGGTATTGGTTGAGATAAAAAAAGTCAGTGTCACGAGCGGGATTCGAACCAACAATCTTTGGCTAAATACGCTGCTGCTCTACCACTTAAACTATCGTGACTTCGATCCTCTCGGGCACCAACCTCCCACCTCAACCTCACATCTCGAATTTTGCTTCCTTTTTGCCATTTTTCAATCACGTATCTCAGACCATATAAAATGTCCTTCCAAATAACCTCTTCTTAGACCTCCACTCTTATCTAACAGAGCAATTATTTCTACAAGAATCTGATCACTCGGGAGGGTGATCTACTCTACAAACTTATTAAACGACAATCGATGATCTATGAAAAACATACAATTTACAAAACGCTACTACAGTTGATTTAGACCTACGATAAGGTTAAATCTTCCAATATCTCCAATCCTTTCAGTGTAAAGTCCTCAGATCAATTCTAAATTTTTCATATTATGTCTCCAGTACTCCCCCTCCACAACGACCTTAAAATCCCATTTATCCAAAACTTAATTCCCCAAAAATTAACAAATTTCCACAATAAACTCTCCAATTCCCCCCCCCCAGCCTTATCCAACAGAACCCATCCCTACGATAAGAAGAAATGGCCCCATGACCTCCTTTCTGAGGAGGAGAGGCAGTGAAGTTCAGTTAGCGAAGTGAAGTGGGAGAATAATATTGATTATTCTTATTGTAAATATATACTTACTTAAAAATATATCTATGTATCATCAGATTACATTTTGCAACCATAAATTGCAGGTGATAATAAAATATTTAAAAATAGAACTGATACAAACTTTTCCTCAAATAATTTATGTATTTTAATAATTCTCTCAACTGCCGAACAAGTTTTAATAGGTTTGTTCCATCACACGTCCAAACCATCGCCGAACTAATGATGCGCAGTTTAGTTTTGGTGTTTTATCATGCTACCAATGCAAACTCAAACAGTCAGTTGGCTGTTCCAACACATTTTCAGGCCAGGTTTGTGACTGGTTTTTGACATTAAAACATCCAAAGATTTGACTAGAGATTAGCAGTGCAGTCAGAGACGTGTAGATGTTTCTTAGCGCTTTCACTTTTGTCAGATAGCAAAATTCTTTCTCAACAAGGGACTGGATTTACATGTGAAATAAATATGAAATATGTACATATATATGTATTTATTTTTTAACAAATATGCCAAATTTCATGTCCTCAAGGACTTGGAACATGTGAAATGCACTGCAATAAATATTGTTCTCACTTACTTATATAGAGTTGTACAGAAGCCATCCAATTACAAATCATTATTGGCAGCGGAGAATAATAACATTTAACATTAATAATAAAAAAAAGTTAAAGCAGTATTCAATAATATACCGATTTTAACCTAGTTTTGAATTATGATTTAGTTCCCCCCCCCCTAGTTAAATATCCTCTATCATTAAAAGGGGTTAATATATTTTTTTTAATATGTGGTGTTTATTGACCGTTAGAAGATTATTTGGAGATCATGAGAGACCAGGCCACATCTAACAATCTCCAAATAATCTTTGTTTTAATAATGGGTAGCCACTATCCCCACTAAATAAAAAAATATGAGCCATATTTTTATTCGATATTTTGAAAAACACGAGAGTTTCTAAATATTCTGCTATGAGGAACAGAGCTAGGGTAACCCACAAAAACATCTATAATCTTATGTTTGTGGTCACAGACTATCTGCATCAGGAAAAATTAAAAATACCAATCTATAAATTTATTAAAATTATTTTTGTTTTGAAGAAATATTAAACTCCTGTATGGAGTAATACCATTTTCGCT